CAGCTTGTTCGGCTTGACTCTTGGGCACATTAACGGTGGCTAGCCGTGCAATAATGGGGGTCATTGTGACCACATTTTAACCCCTCCCTCTCTCCGTTTCTTCCAGCGAATGCCGAGTCTTGGGCCCTTCACCGGAGGGGTCGGTGGCAAGTTACCGAGTTGGAGACCAAGGGTGGTATTGGAAGCAAGGGATTTCTGTCCCTGTGCTCTGTACGCCCCGAGATTAATCAAAGACATTCTCATCATGCGGCGAAAGCATATTAGACACTCAACCTAGCGCCTGCGATGGACGCGGCGACGACGACGACGTGTCATTTACTTCTACCTCAGCATTCGACTGAATCTTGATGGCGCGTGGGGAACAATCCGATCAGCCCTTCTGCCGAGACAAGCCGCCCGTTCTTAATCACTTCCAGTGGGGATGGGTGACCGGGAATAATGGCACCAAGACCATGTACAGTTCTCGCTCTGCACCAGGAGACCCCAATGGGAGAAGAAGTGACTTGTTGACACAGTGCGTTCAACGGTTTCTGCACATGCTACGACGGTGCCGCAGCCTGCCAGCCGGGCAAACCTGGCAAAGCAGCCCAGATCGAATGAGCAGGGAAATTTGACCTGGTCGAGTCAAGCGGCAAGCCCATGGGTGGGGATTGCACAGCGCAATAGACTGAGGCTCCGATCGATGGATATCAGACGAAGAAAGAGGGCAAACCCATGGATGAGGGCTGGACGGCAGAATGCGGTGAAAGCTTCATGATCGAGACGCGTCGTCAAGAAATGAGCTCCAACAGGGCTATTGCTAGCAAAATTCCGGCTGCCAACCCACCACCATCGGAAGCTTTCCACAGCGACAGCCCTCGCCGGAGCGCTTCCCACTAAGTGCGCCGCCAGGAAAACTCACCCAGTTGGCCGTGCTGGCTATTCGAACAGCAGCACGTCAGACGTCTCCGTATACGCTACTGATCGATGGCCCAAGGCCAGTCTACGTGGGCTAGCAGGATGCCAGGAGCTACAACGTCCATGCCTATCACCATGCAGATAGATGCATAGCTGCTGGTTCCGGGTGTGTGCCCAGCCACATCAACTGTCTCCCACGGGACCTCGGCCACATGCAGGCTGGACGGGCGGACAGTGGAGAGGAAGACACCCGCAGCAAGGACCAGGAGACAAGGCAGTCGAAAGACGAGACCATAGGCTAGGATCCATGCCGGATGGACGATTGACGGTTGCTCAACAGACTTCCCGCTGCGCATGTAGTCCGTCCCCAACCCTTCCTTGTATCGTCGTTCGGTACGTAGGCGAAGCAGACTGGGCCAGCTCCACTTCCAACGGCGGCGATTGAGAAATAGGTACGGTGCGGCACACCATGGCTGAGGTACAGGACGCGCCGCACTAAGGTCGTGCAATCTGACCAGCCTGTCCGCGGGACGTGTAGTGTATCGAATGGACTGCAATCAGCTTCGGCCCACCAACGATCCGGATGAATACTTTCCTAGGTTTCCCTGGAGCATGACCTTTCCCTGGTCCTATGCCATACTGTCTCGTCAGAAAGACTGGTCGGCAAGAAGGCATGTTTGAAGGCAGTCGAATCCCTCCAATGGCGGACTGAACATACTGATGGAAGGGCACTTATTCGAGAAACGTGGCAGCGTCTCAAGCACGCTACTGCACAAGACTCACGTTGCCCACCGTGAGCGTGCTGAGTGAGCGGCGCACCTGGTACATGAATTGGTGGGGAGAGCTATATGGGGTCCTCGAGCACGCAGGAAGGCAACGAGGATAGGCTGGCCCAGAGGAGCAGGCATGGGATGGATGGTTGGGACAGGAAAGGCGCACTGCACCACAGCGGCAAAGCAGCGGTGAGCAGAATATTTGACCTGCTCGTCGTGGTTTTTGCACTGACCTATACTCCGTCCTGAGCGGCTCGGGTCCGTTCATCCCGTACTCGACCCGCCCGTTGTCATTCACCATCATGTCAATGTGTTGATGTTCAGCCGAGTATCGGATCGGAGACGGAGAAGAGAATTCTCTCTTTCTTTCTTGGTCTTCTCGCTGACCTTCACTCTCGGGGGGGGGGGTTTCACTCGACTACGTGATGCAGCTACATGGGCCCAGCCGACGATTCTGTCATGCGATACAATGGCTGTTGTTGGTGGACAAACGAGGCGGACATGATCTGTCAGATCTGACAGCTGTGTCGTCACAAGCCACGCGGCGGCAGCGGCGGCGGCCGGTGGTACAATTGAACTCGGATACTATGGGAAGCACGGGAGCACGTATCGACCAACAATCCATACGGATACCAAGCACGACCGGGATGCACACATCATGGGCGGCTTCTTTCTAGGGGTCCCTGACTCTGACTCTTCAAGGTGTGCAATCCATCTCAGCAAGGCAGCCGAAACGGCAAAAAGCAAGCGCTCGACGAGGGGTCGTGAGGATTTCTTTCTTTGGTCTGACTGTCTGACAGTCTGGCTGGAGTACCTGTGAGGGGTTGCTTCTTCGTCTTCTTTCTTTCCTTTTCAATCTAGTTTTTTTTTCCTACTCATCATTTCATCCCCGCCTAGCTAACCATACCGGCAACCAGCTCCTCACCACCCACAATCTCACCTCGTCAGCCGTCTCCCCGCCTGCTCACCACCCATCGCCAAATAAATCGACATGTCTCCCCCTCCGGGCTCGCGTCCGTGGCTGCCGACACCTTGCAGCAAAGTTGCAGACCAACAAGAAAAGTACGCCCCATCCCATCTGCGGTAGCTGTCCATTGGCGATGCATCATGTACAGTACTTTGGTTCTTTTTGGCTCATCTAGGCTCTGGTCATCCATCGGCGCCCAGCCCCCAGGCAGCCGGGCATACAAGTCATCGACCACGTCGCCCACCCCTTCTTCGACTGGGACATTCACGACGGGCTCTGGGCTCCTAATCGCGCTCTTTCGGGCCAGCTGCATGACAGGTAGCACCCAAGGGGGTGGGCTCGAACCACTAAGACGGCCTCCGAAGATATTCGTGCGACCTTGAGACCTATGGTGCTGCTGCATGGCCGCTTGGGCCCGTCACCGCCCGCATGGTGCTGCAGTCACAAGCTGCGGACCGATGCGGCCTGCAGCAGGATCGGCGTCGATCCGCTTGTTTTTTTACCACCAAAAAAACCTGTCCACGGCACCTGTCTGTTCCTAACGCCCGGCGGTGGCCCCCATCAGCCCCGGTCGGTCATACACCGTCAAGTCGACCCCGTCACGGTCACGCCCCGTGTTGTCCTCCCCCGGCATTTGTCTCTCGGGCTTCATTCAGAGTTTGTCTTTGCTTTTTCAATCCTTGTTCGGTGGCTGGATAACTTTTTTTTTTTTCTCTTTTTTATGCGCTGCTGTATCATGTACGGATATGTACTGTGTGTGGTATGGACGACTCGTTGGTGCAAGGGAACACATACCTCGTCAAGCATGCTTACGGCCGGTTCTGTCTTGTCAACGCAGCTCTGTCTCTCCGTGTTGCTTGCAGTGCCGGTCATGTACCTGTTTGGTATGACTCGACGGCGGCAGGTAACGCTGCCCGGGTTGCGAAGCGATGCGTGTTGGTGTGTGTGTGCCCACGCACCATGAACTCACGGAGTACGGAAGAGGCAAATGCTAGTCAAGTCAGGTCCTGCCGTCCAACCTGCCACGCTTGCAGTGGGTATTTCGGACGGGCATCCCATTCCATTCCCCCCTCTCTTTTCCTTGCCGGGTCCGCGGCTGTAACCTGATTTGGGCCCCGGGTGCGTCTTCGCATCCCGCCCGAGGTCACTTCGGTGGGCTACGAAGGCGCGCCGCAAAAAGCGGCGGCCCCCCAGGGTTTCGGCCATGATCCATGGTGGATGCCAATGGGATGTGCCATGGCTGCGAGCGCTGACTCCTGAGAGCCAGCCTTGGAAAGGGTAATAACGAGGCAGCCGCAGGTGCATGATGACGGGCTCCTTCATCCCTCCTCCACGAGGTAAGGAATTCGTAAAGGTAGGGGATTCTAATGTCAAGGTTCCACCAACCCCCCCCCCCCCCTCGTCCGGTTCCCCGAGAGACCTGGGGCGCGGCGGCCGCGACCTTCTTGTCAGACGCGGTGCGAGGTAAGGTACCGTTCAACTTCGCTAGGAAGGCAAGGCCGGGTTCGGGGTGGGAAAGAGGAGGAGGAGGAGGGGGTAACGGGACAGATCTCTATTAGTTCGCCGTTCCTCCTTTTCCCCCCTTCCCCCCTTCCGCCTTGGATTCAGGCACTAATTATTACGACTGAACTCCTGCCACAACCAGATGGGGGAAGAGTCCACAATATTGAAGCTACCCCGAAATTCTCCACGCCCCCGTGCCATCCCGGTCTCACACACTTCTAGTCACGTGATGGACAGACTGCTGTCAAGCTGTTGAAGCGGGGGGGAGGCCAGCTTACCTCACCTGCAGGAATCAGCCTCAGGCTTCACTTTTCCCTCGCTGCCCACCCGTGCCGGGGCTCTCTCTAATAGTCTTTCTTTCTCGTAGCGGTCCGTGCCTCCACAATTATCCCATTCCCCCGCTCCGGTACTCTTTTTCGTGTGTGGTCCCCTCATCATTCCATTCGGGGACTACCTCCCGGAGCCTTTTTTGTGGACTGGAGACTTTTTTTTTTTCTTTCCTTCCCAAGTTCCCATCGCCGAGTTTCTAGTAGCGCTGGACCCCTTCCGGCCGGATCATTTCCGCGGACCTGAGCCTAACGTACACTACGAAGTGACCGAAAACTCTCCGTGCAAAAAGGAATAAAAGCAACGTCCCAGTGGTTGCAGCATCAGTGAACTAAAGGTAGACACATTGAAGATCAAGAAACTCTGACATATTGGTCCTGTCTATTTTTGCAATCAACTTTGTTGAAGCTGAGTAAGGCACTTGCAGACGGTAGTCCCTTGCTCCGGCGTACCTATTTCTCTTCTTCTTTCCTCCTCCAATCAAAAGACGAAGAACACCAAAGAGGGGTTACAACGAAAAGAAGACGAATTTCCGAACCCCCCAAGATCTCGATAACCCTAGACATACCGAGTACACACCGAGACGTCGACTACCCTTGGATATCTGTCAGGGAAAATAACCGCCGACTGTCCCATTCACCGAATATAGCCCGACGATAATCATGGCTGAGAACGATACTGCAAGCGCCAACAAGGCTTATTTCAAGTACGTACAAATTTCACATTTCCACACCGTTTCCTACGTTGCCTATCGAAGGAAGGAGGAGCGCCATGACAGGATGAATGGCGTGTGATATTCAATTTTGTCCACGTTCAACCGTTCCCGGGTTCCTGCAGATGCGCAGCACGACAAACACACCCAAGCCTCTCGAGTCTCATCACCACTTTCAGAAGTACTCACCTCAGCCCTCTCCTTTTTTGAGAATTGCACGAGAAGACCGAACTCCCTTTTTCAAATGTGTCCCATCCTTCTTAAACTACATTTTTCTCACTTCAAGCAACATAAAAAAACCATGGAGTGGAATCGAGTTGACTTACACGAATAAACCGCGCGTAGTAAGCTAGCAGCCGAGTACGACGCAAAGTACGAAAAGACTATTCTGCAACTCGAAAAGGAGATTCGCAAGCGCAAGGATTTTATCGGTGCCGATTGGGTCGTTGATGACGACGACGATGATGATGACGAGGAGGAGGACAATGAGAGCGAGACTGCAGCACAGCCGGCGGCGGCGGCGAGTGGCCGGTCCGTGAGACTTCTTGATTACGCTTGTGGAACGGGTTTGATATCAAGGGTGAGTTCTTTTTTTTAATTTTTCTTATCCTTTGGAAATCAAAGGATTTGATTCTTTCTCATGTTCTATTGTTACTCACAACATGTTTGTGAGCGGAGCTTCACCCTCTCTAGTACTCTACGACTCACAAATCACCTCCTGTCCGTCACGCAAGTTTGTTTGCTTCTGTTTCAGATGTCGTGTATTCTCTATTCGTGTAACACATTGCTCTCTTGTGTCCACGAATCCTTCTTCTCCTTCTTCAAGTGTTTAACATACTTGACGTGCGGAAATGATGCCTGGGCTGTAGACTCATAGTTGGGCAACTTGCACTAACACCAAAAAACACAATAGGCCCTCGCGCAGTTCACGACGCATTGCGTCGGCATAGACATTTCGGAAAACATGGTGGCAGCTTACAACGCCCGGGCCGAGAACCAGGTACGTTGTTGACGTTAACGTTGAATGTTTGGTTCAAACAGGGCGAGAGAAGCCTCAAAATAGCTCTGTTTCCCCTTTCGGTTGTCATTTCTACATACACACCATCCCTTAGTCCTCTCCCCCTTTCCCCCTGCCTTTCTGCCCACGACGTACAAACCAGCATCCAAGTGGAGAGTGACAAGAGAGCGAAGGGGAGGGAGAGTTTCGAAGCAAAGGTGTGTATTGCGGAGTACGCACACCAGATGCAAAAGAAAAGAAAAAAAAAAAGACCAGACTATGGGGCCAGCCGCTCCAGACTCGGCTCGACTCCAGACAAAAAAGACCGGATCGTTCGCCTCACACGGATACCTACCTGCTCACGGACTCGTTTCGGCAAAGAGCACAGACAATCTTCTGGGGAAGTGAGAAAAAAAAGAGGCTGTCGAGGCTGTCGAGGCTGTCGTGGCTGTGTGTAGCGGGAGAGAGGGGGAGGGGGAGAAAGTCAGAAACCTCGTCTGAGCGTTTCCGTCGTTGTCCACGATGAATGACGGACGGGTCCGTTCCCTCACGAGTCACACCCTTCTCACACCTCATGTTGGTCTCATCTCAGCCCTGCTGACCTCTGAAGTCTGAACCTCGCCATGACATGACGTGGACAATCGCAAACCTTTGCACTCTCTTTTTGCGGTTTTCGATCCGACCCCTCCCCTCTCCCCTCTGGACGGCCCTCGTCTCTCTCTCTCTCTCTCTCTCTCTCTCTCTCTCTCACCCTACCCACCCCCTCCCCTGAATCTCACATAATCTCATCTCATCCCATCTTTCTCTGCTTCGACAAAGTTGCCGTCTCGAGAGCAAACCCACACTCTACCCCTCCCCTCCCCTCCCTTCCTCTGAGTTGCTCGGCCGTGGACCGAACAAGCCTGTGCGGGCTCGGGTTGTGCGGACGGCTCGGCGCACGGGAAGATATTGCGTGACCAAAAGCCCCTGCGCAAGTTGCCGCAAAAAAAGTACATGATACATTTAAATGTACATGAAAAGAAAAGACGAAAAGAAAAAGGCAAAAAGAGAAACGGAAAGACGCGGGAAGACTGCGAGAGACAGAAGAGAAAAGCTTCAGCTGACCCGATGACTGACATGACCACCTCCTCAACCAAAACAGGGCCTCACCACCGACGAAATGCACGCCTACCAAGGCAACCTCACGGACCCGTCCGATCCGTCCCCCGCGGCGTTCGCATCCGACGACGGCAACGATGGCGGCCGCTTCCGCGACTTTGACGTCGCCGGCGTCGGTCTCGGGTTCCACCACTTTGAGGACCCGGAGCTCTCGGCCCGTCGGCTGGTGGAGAGGTTGAGACCGGGCGGGGTGTTTATCATTCTCGATTTTTTGCCGCACGAGAAGATGGATCATGTGTTGCCTGCTGCGCATACCGTTATGCATCACGGATTTTCGGAGGAGAGGATGAGGAGTATTTTTGAGCAGGCTGGTGCTGGGGGGGATTTTAGGATGGAGGAGCTTGGGAGTGGTGTTGTTTTTGGGGGGCATGGGCATGGGCATGGACACGGACATGATGATCATGGACAGGACCATGGTCATGGACAGGACCATGGTCATGGACATAGCCATGGGGAGGAAAAGGGACATGATCATCACGGTCATGGTTCGGGGCAGGGGATGAAGAGGCGGGTGTTCCTGGCGCGGGGGACCAAGGTTTAGATGGCGATTAGGCTCAAGATGTCATGAATCTAACTTGGCTTTGTACTCTGGCTTGAACCTTTCTATCTGCAGACGAGCGGAGCACACTCGTCAAGGTTATACGTTGAGTCTACCGAAACGCTCGTGTTCACTACTCTTTATCACCAATATCAACAGCAAAAGCACCTCCAAGCAAGATAGCAGGCTCACCAATGCTGTGATGCTCGTAACTAAAGTAGTATCCCAGAATCAGTCCTGGCTCGTCGCCACATAGTACGCACCCCTGAATGGAAAACTTACCTCAAAGTACCGACACCACCAGCCTCGAGCAGAAACGCCGGTCCGTCCTGCAGCGTCTTGCCGGCCCAGCGCATGGCAAAGGCACGGAGGATGTGGCCGTGGGCGACGACGAGGACGTCCCCGTTGGGCGCGGCCTTGTTGCCGATGACGGGGCTGTGCCACCTGTCGCGGATGTCCTTGATCAGGCGGTCCAAACGTTCTGTCACGTCTTGAGGGCTCCTGCAATGGAATCAGCAAGCTCTTCTCGGGTTGGAAATCTCCGTTGGCTAGGTATGAGATTTCACATTACGTCGATGACCGATGACAGTCTCTCCCAAGAAGCACTCATCAACGGTTCCGACCACATCGATAGCTAGATCGCCAACAATGCTGCCCCGGGAAAACAAGATGACCTGACGTGGAGAGGGAGAGAGGGAGGAGGAGAGAGGGAGAAGGAGAGAGAGGCATGTCTCTGGGGAACGAGAAAAGACTTACTCGCCGCCGGGGCAACCATCGCGCCAAATGTCCCAGTTCTCAGAAAGGCCCTGCTCCTTGCGGATGCGACGAATCTCCGGTGACGTGATGCCCTCGTAGTCGCCATAGTCCCATTCTCGAATGTCCTCGGTGACCTCGACGCAGGCGTTGCAGTGCGGGCCGTTGCCCTCGATCTCTCCGTGCTCCTTCCAGGGCAGATTGTCGTTGATGCCGAGGTTCAAAAGCTCAAAGGTGCGCTGGGCACGTTTGCGAGGGGAGACGTAGCTGACCTTACTTTAGCAGGAGCTCATGGTGAAAGTATGATTTTGAAATATGTTATAAGTGCTAAGTGACTTCACTTGAAGGACCTAGATCGCCACGCATGTGACGAAGAGCAAGTCTGGATCCCTGAAACGGAAGAACTGGCTGTGCTCTTCATACGATTTAATAATTACACGTAACTCACATGTGAGAGATTCGCTTGGGTACAATAAGGCGATCACTGCCCACCAGAGCGCGGCCGGTGGCTCGCACACGCTTCTCGCCGTTGGCCGTGAGCGGGATATCGGTACTGCCGGTATGCCGGCCGTCGAGGGACCACTCCGTCTCGCCGTGACGAATGACAAAGGCGCGGGGAGTCGTCATGGTGGCTGATGCAGTTAAAACGTCTCGCAAAGCCGATTTGACAGCGGATGTAACCTCAGAATGGTGGTGGGTGGGAAATGTTATGCGATCTCTACCGATGTCTAAGTGTTCTTCGGGGTCTAGTGGAGGGAGGCGCAGGGACGCCCCGAGTCAGCTTTTGGTCCTGTCACACAGCAGCAGCAGCGAGATCTTGACGTGTGTATGTGTGCTTGTGACGTTTAACGCATGAAAAGGGGCTCGGAATCTGATGTGGAATGGTGGGTTGTGAATGAGAGGAAGTTGAGACGGATGGGCTTGACATGACGTTTCTGCCTTTACCGAGTTTGGCTTTCCAGCCTTCCTGCTCTTCCCGTCTTTGCACTCCATCTCAGCTCTGCGCATAGCCTTTAGAGATCTTGTGGAAGCATAGACGGCGCTGGCCATGACACAGCTCATTGATGGTTCGTTTCCTGCAAGTGCCAACTTTGGCCGATGAATCCACGGTCCAGGCCAAGATCCAACGACATCTGCCAATTCGAGCCAAGGTCATGCGGGAGCGGCAGTGCTGAGTCTCTTCTCAACATTCTTTCCAGTGTCGTGTGCCCGATGTTTCTTCTGATCTCCCCGACGATGACAAGCGAGAAGACAAGCCTTTTGCCCCCCTCTTACTGGCCCCTGTATCGCATCTTCTCCTGACCCCAGCATAGGCCATCGAAACGGTAGCAGTCCGCCGCTTCTCGCGTGCACTTGCCGCAGGCTGCGTCCCATCTACCCCTTCGTCATCCGGCTTTGTGACATCTGTCTGGTTTTATGCGGTCCAGGATAGGTCAGGACGGGGGATGGGAGGGGGGGAGTGAGAAGGCTTTTGGGCTTGTAGCAGAGGGAGATCCTCAGTAATGGTGCGCCATGGGAAAGGTTTCAGCAAGGGCTGTAACGAGCAAGGGTTCGTACCAGAACCCCACCCGGGTAAGAACTACCTGATCGTGATCACTGCTCGAAAGTGAATGTTGCGGCGACTTTCCGTTGCTTGACGGGGAGAGAATAGGCGAGAAAGAGCTAGGAGTTCAAGAAAGAATTGTGGCGAATGTGAGATCAGAAGACTCAAGGAAAGGAGGATGGACGCTGCTTTGGAGTAGGGATGATTGGTGAGGGGAAGGAGAAGAGGAGGGAGGATAGAGATGCTCTCACGAAGTTTGTTTCAACTTACCAGTAGAAGTGAGAATGAATAAGCCCGTTTGAGGATGCCCTGGGCAGCGAAAAAAGGCAGTTGGGGTCCTGGTGGTTCTTACTCGACGTCTCTGATCTTTTAATCCTTCTTGCTCGCTCCGGGGTTTGTAATGGCGCAATCGACAAAAAGGTCAATGTCTCCCACACACTTTGGTCGTTTAACTGCCTTTCTGGTTATTTTGTAACTTCCTCCTAATCCAAAGGGCGTAACGGGTTGCACGAACTCGCCTCTTATGAGTCTTTTTTTCTTTCCCTCTTACCCGTAACTTGATTGAAATTATCCGCAACATCAGTAATGACCCGAAGCGACGACGTCACGCCAACCCCGGCTCTGACAGGACGATTACTAAGAGCGCTGGGGCTCCCTTCGTCTCCTCTTCTTCCTCGGCGCCAACGTCTGCAGCGGGGCCTCCTCCGCCACGGCGTTTCCACTCCCGGCTGGACTGCTGCCACCGAGACTACCGACATAACCGGCACCGACACAACCGACGCGAACGCGCTGGAGCTCACAGCTTGGCCGTATTCTGCTGCGCCCGCCCCCGCTACAGACCCGTCAACGCCGACACCGACGTCAACAACCGATTCTTGTTCTCCTTATTGCGATTGCGAATACGATCCCTTTGAGGCAACGACCCGGCGACGACATTCTCCATCAACGCCGCTCGAGAGACCCCAGGGCCATAGGCGAGCCAATTCTCTCGATTCTACGACCACCGATTCTTCGATTGAATCTGCCTCTTCATCCTTCTCATCGGTCTCTTCGCGCTCCCGTTGGAACCCCTTCTCTCCCGCGACCGACGAACTGAACACCTCGAACCGACGGTCAAACGGTGTGGACGATAAAAGGAGTAAAAAATCGAGAGAAGTCTGGAGAGAGTATTGGTGAAGCACCTTTGAAAATCTAGCAGAAGGAACCAATATTTCGAAGCTGAAGAGGGGGAAAGTGTCAAAAGCAAAGACTGTGAAAACATGAGCGGCTTCACAAGATTCCGTGCTGGCCTCACTGCCGCTGGTTGCGCCGCCATCATCTTCACAGGAGCCACTTATGGCGCAGGCTTGAAGACACAAAAGGAATGGAAAGAGGTAAGGCACTTCTCTAAGACGTCAATCTGCATCATGAAAACTAACGAGTTCCTCGTCAGGACCGACAAAGCTTCTGGGAGTCTCCTCATGACGAGCAGATTTCCCTTCTGCAGGGCCAGCGTGGCCGGTTGGTCACGGAGCGCCGGAAATGGGAAAGAAAGCTCGAGTTTCTGGATGAGAGGATAAAAGAAGGAGAGGTGAAGAAGCCAGAAAGTTGACCACAGACGCCGTACAAAGTCTGACGTGGGGACGTTCTGTCATGGCCAACAAGACCTCGGCCTCAAGTAGAAGCACATCCAAGCAGGATAAAGGATGCTATTTTAAGAAGATCCGCGTAGTTCGAGGCAGAAGACCACGATCAGCGGTAACGCAAGAGCGATCAGCCCACGCGTAGGGCCTTGATAAGCACCATGGGTAATTCTGTATAATCAGGTCGACGGAAGACCATTCGCAAGCTGTACACAAAGATAAGGAATAATTGTAGCGATCACCACTTTTGGGTAATGAACAGCATCCATTACATTCGTCAATCCGTCTATCTATGCCCTAAAGTGCTTTATTCCTTTGTGACCGGCTCGTTTTGCATGCCTCCCATAACCTCGTTATCGCTCGAAAACGCCAAGTCGATGCCCCCTCAAGAGCTCTGAGCAGCTAAATTTTCCTACTCGGTCTTGCCTTCATTATCAATCGTCGAAAGAGGGATGGCCCGGTAGAGGCAGATGAGAGCAGAGTGCGACTCGCCACCACCCGCCAAGGCATCGATCTTGTCAGGGGTCACCTCCGACACCTTGTCGTCGTTGAACCACCACCAGTTGCCGTCCTCCTCGCCCTTCTTACCGGTCTTGGGGTCGACAGGGGCAGTCTTCTTGACATAGGCAGTGTAGTGACCGCTGTCGGCACTTGCTCCCTGATGAGTGACGACGCCACGCAGCTCGTAGATTCCGGACTGGTTGGCACCTTCGTCCTTTGCCAGATCCTGGTTGACCAGAGCATAGAGCTCCTTCTTCGCAGCAGTGAGAGCCGCATCTTTCTCAGCTTCGACCTCGGCGTCGGTCTTGAAAGTCTCAGTCATTTCCGTGTCGCCATCCGAAGTGGTGGCTACGGGCTTTCCAGTTCTCTCGGCCTTCTTGTCATTGGCCTTCTCCAGAGCTGTCTTGCCCTCGGGGCCCCCAGAAGCTCCAGCAACATCGCCTCTGTCGACGGGGTTGATCTTGCGTCTCTTGCGGGCCCGCTCAATATCCTCTTCGTCCTTGCGAATCTCGCGAACCTTGTCGCGCACAGGAATAAGGGCCTTCTTCAGCTCATCGGTGCAGAACTCAACCACGTCAAGTTCGTGGGGGAAGGTGACCTTGCGCATGATCTTGGCCTTCTTCTGCACCTCCCGCTTCCAGAAGAATCTCACAAAGTGAACCGTAAGATACTTGGGAAGCCGTGAGATCTGGGACTTCTTTGTGTAAGTCGTGTCTCTATCCAGAACCGAAGACTTCTTCTCCAACTTCTCGGTCAAAGCAGCCAAGATACCGTCGCGAAGGTGGTTGATAGTAGCATCAATGTGGCAGTTGAGCTTGAGGAAAGATTCGCTTGACTTGACAGCCTCCTCTCCACCGTCTCTGGCAGCCTGCTCATCGGCCTCCAAAGTTGACTGAAGCTCTCCAGCCATGTAGCTGTCGATGAATGAAGAACCCTCAGACTCGGAGAGCTTCTGCTTCAACTGGGAAATTATCTGGGACCAGGCCTCCTCGGCGTCCTGCTGGGCATAACCGGCTCCAGTCTTGGACTTCTCGGCGAACTGGGGATACACCATGCGAAGTGTACTCAGGAAGGTCAGCGGGGGGATGGCACCCTGTGTTTCCGACATGTTCTTGTAGAGATCGGTAAGCTGAGTGGCGATGTCGGTCGAAGTCAGACCAAAGCTGCTGCCAGCACCACCGCTACCCGACTTGTGCGTGGTCAGGGCCGTCTGGAGTTCGGGGATCGATCGGAGGGTTTGAAGGGTCGAGTTAAGGTAGCAGGTGTTGCCCAGGTTGGTGAGGCCGGCGGGAGTGGCTCCTTCCTGCTGGGCTGCTTCGGCTTCGGTCATGTCCTCGACAAACTTGACGGCTTCCTTGGGCCGAGCGAGATCTGCGTTCTCTCCGGACGGCTTGCCCATCATCATCAGCGTGGCGCCGGCCTTGAGGCCGAATTTGGCCATGTCATCGTCATCCTTGACTTGCTTGCCCTTGACGAGAATCTTCTGTCGCTCAGGTTCAACGCCAGTCAGACTGTAGAGCTGGTACTTGAAGGTTTCGCCATTGGAGGAGGTATCGATCTCGACTTTGTACTTGGTGCCTTGATGGCTAACGGTGACTGTGTGACAAGTCAGACAACATCAGACGCATTATCTGGGTAATGCTGCTTACCGGGTATTGACGCCATCGTTGTTTTTGCGATTCAGGTCGGCCTTGCTGCAGAGTTTGGGAGTAGCTTTTGCAGTGTGTTGGGAATAAAACCTCGTTGCGAAACGGACTGCTGAAGGACGAGCTGGTTGAAGGCACCAGGTGGGTTGCGTCAGTACCTACCAAGCATGGAACCTTGAGGTGGGCGGGCAGTAAGGGAGGCAAGGTAGTACAAAGGACCACACGGCAACGTAGCGGGGAAGCGGTGTACCTGCAGGGTCCGTTTCAGCTGCCGATTCGCTTATGGCAATATGCCCTTGTTCCTAACACTTCCGCATGCATTCGACAGTCTTCCAGCATCTTCGGGGGCAAGGAGTCTCGAGAGAAACCAGTAAAGCTTATGAAATTTATATCCTGCATTTCAATGCTAAGCAATTGAATAGGTACCCACTGCTATAGTCTATCGTGGAGCATATGTGAAGCTTGCCTACCTAGTCCGCTGAGATGAGATTTCCCAAATGTTTAAGTGTATATACCATAATATGCATGTAAAGGGCACAAGTGGGGGATCGCCACTAAGGAAGGAGCTCGACGATCACGTGAGATAGCTTCCGGCTGAATCAGCGAAGTGCGGTGACAGCTACGCATGATGTGGAGCTAAGGTACGGCGGTGCTACCAGCCCCACTACGAAACGTCAGGCTTCCGGCTGAGCCAACCTCACGAGCCCCGCGGTCAACATCCAACTCCAACCTCTCAGCATCACCAAAGGTTGGACGCGGTCACGTCTCTCCATCATGGTTAGTGAATGCTTGCGATTGGAGGACCTGCCTCTTTGCTAACAGCTGTGATACAGTCTCAATCACTGCGACCCTATCTCCAGGCCGTCCGGAGCAGTCTGACGTCCGCCCTGACGCTCTCCAACTTCGCTTCCCAAACCGCCGAACGTCACAATGTCCCCGAGATCGAGGCTCAAACATCGCCCGAAGTCCTTCTGACGCCCCTTACGATTGCCCGAAACGAAAACGAGCGAGTTCTGATCGAGCCGAGTATCAATTCCGTGCGGATATCCATCAAGATCAAGCAGGCCGACGAGATCGAGCACATCCTCGTCCACAAGTTCACTCGTTTCCTGACGCAGAGAGCCGAGTCGTTCTTCATATTGAGAAGGAAGCCAATCAAGGTACGAGACACACCACGAAAGTACTTGGCGGAGCTTCTAGGAGCTGCAATGCCACGTGGCTTATAACATCCATATCAAAACGTCACGCTGACTTACTTTACTAGGGATACGATATTTCATTCTTGATTACGAACTTCCACACCGAGGAGATGCTGAAGCACAAGCTGGTTGACTTTATTATCCAATTCATGGAGGAGGTTGACAAGGAGATTTCGGAAATGAAGCTCTTCGTATGTCTCTTCACCCCTGATCCTTCTGCCGTGCAGTTTCTGACAATACACAGTTGAACGCGAGAGCCAGATTCGTTGCTGAATCTTTCCTGACTCCCGTAAGTCATATTCGCAATTACAGCGCCAAGCGGACGCAGCTGATGACCCCCTTAGTTCGATTAAAATACCCTACAACACGCGTCTCACACGCTAGGAGCTCATATTCAAATATCTCACGGCCAGAAACGTGTGGTTTGAACGAGGACCTCGGTCACGTAGAAGTCATGGACTGGAATCATGAGTTGGAGTTGGATGTTGGCTCGAGCGCTCCCGTAATACCGGGATCCACTATGGTTCCAACCTTGATATTGGTCCGCAAATCCGGGGCCGAGTGGGAACGAACGACATGGAGCCTCCATTTTGATAAACAATTACCGTTATGAACACAACTGTCTCCCGATCACATGTTGCATGTCAGTGCTGCGTGTTCTGATGTAACTCCTTGCTACACTCACGGAATCGTTGTAGAAAGTCTGAAGCCCATGTGGTACTGCGAGACGGAGTATCACATGTTCGGAAACAACTATGTCGACCTCATTTTGGAGCGAGAAACAGCTGGTCATTGAGCTTAATCCAGGGATGGATTCTTACCGTCACGAAGACGACGACGCTACACAACTTAATTTACTCGCCCCGGCGATGGTCTGCTCAACGTTGTCGCCCCCGTGCCATTGAGGTTATGCTGGTTGTCGAGTGTAGATGGAATCAGCTTTTTCTGAGAACCGTAAGACGCCTAATACCAATTCTATTTAACAAGAGGCCTTGCGCCTTAAGGCAACCCAATCTTGCCACTGTCGTCGTCCTGACCCGGCATGTAACCACCGACCTAATACTCACCCCCACCCCACCAGGCTACGATGGAATACACAACCACCCATCCTGCTGCCGCCTCGGCGTCCCTCAATGCCCTGAATCAGAAGCCTCTTCTTCCTTCACATCTTCTTCTCTCCTCCCACTTTTCTTCTCACCTCAACTCGGATTCCTTCTCACTTGTCCTTCCCACTTCTCCTACCCACCACACAACCTCAATCAGCGAATCCCTCCCACATCATCACGACAAGCAATCTGTGTCTCAAGTGCAATCCTGTACTCAAGACTCTGATTCCACAGTCTACAGGGTCTGCTGATTCTATCGACCTTTGCTCATCGACAACACAAACCGAAAATCCCCTCAGTTCTCAGCTCTACCTTGTTTGGGCTACCTGCCTCTTACGATACTCGTTCAGCCTCTGGTAAGCCTCCTTTTATTTTATTTCTCACCCGTCTTCTCGTCGCAAGTCCTCTTTTTAGAAGCAACGAACTGGCAGCAGAGAGCTCTTCTCACCTTGTTTTTGGTTGTTTATCGTCCCACCTCCCCCTCTTCCTCCCTCCTTCCGTCCCTTCAGGCTTTGCTCGACGGTGAGGTCGTTTTTTTTTTCCACCCCCAACCCTCTGGCTCTTATCCCTTTCACCTTTCCACATCTTTCTTTCTAACAACTTTCCATCAACAGATACCCACAAGTCACTGTACGGTGATTTTCAACTGCTTTCTTGGGCCAATCTACCTTTCCAGCAGTAAGAGTAAGTTGTCTCCTTCTCTACACAATTTAGCGCATTCCATCATCCATCAAATCTTCATCGCATTGCTTCTTGGCGATGAGACTTCTTCCAGTCTCGTTCGTCTGTTCCTGAGTTATCGATTTATCCCAGAGAAGCGACGAAGGCTTCCTCGGACGAAAGCAATTGCGCTATCGGGCCAATCCTTTAGATGTTGCTTTCATCGACTACAAGGGAGAGTCACTCGCCTTGCTTCCGCCATTTTCCATCGGCTTGTCACATCTGCCAGATTTTCTCCTGCGTTCATCACCTTGTGTTTAGCATCTCATCTCCTTCACCTTGTGCGCTCCCGCCTTGTCTGGCATCCTCTGCCCCCACCTCTTCAAGTCGCTTGCTCTCGCCTTGTCTTTCATCCCCGGGTCACACTCGCCTATTTTCATACTTTTGCCCGGCATTGGTTCTCAAGCTTCTTCACATTAGTGGCTCAATCATTCACTAATCGCATACTTCCAGAGCACTTACTGTCATCACGTACATTCACCACATCTACTGCCACCAGTATCCCTTATCAACATCATTCTTGTTCTCCTTGTTCTCAACAAGGATTACGCCTGAGTGTTGCACATCATGGTATACTCTCAGGTACCTGGTATGAAGGGCAAGACGGGACAACCGCAGATGCAGCGGCGCGCGCGTAACAGTGTCCTTCAGTTTGCATACAAGCCTCGCGCCTTGCCGGAGACTGTCATGGAGACGGAGACTGCCGTTGAGAATGGCGAGTACGACAGTGAGCCTGGAGGCGCCCGCCTCGACGCTGATCCTTTCGGTCGTAACCAGCAGGGCCAGCATTACATCTTGGCCGGCTCCCGCCTCAACCCTTCGTCCTCGCCTTGGGTTCCCAACTCCTCCCAGGTCCAACAGACCACTAGCAAGGTATATATATCCAACATCTCGAAACTCTCTTATCAGCAATATTCCGATCTAACACTCGCCTCCAGATTGATCAGCCCGAGATCGCTGAGCTTGACGGTACGCCTCAGTATCTTGGCACCAACGGCAAGATCCAGGGCCGTTTGTCGATCCCCGCCCAGAACTTTGGATCTGGCTCGAACGGTGCAGCCTCCTACTTGGATGTACCAGTCGAAAACGGCTATCGCCTTACACGCCCGAAGATGCCCAGCCAGGCGAACCACGGCCAGCTCACTGGCAGCTCCTCCATGGGCAACTTGGGCATCCAGACCCCTGTCCGCCAGAACAACGTTGGCTTGCTTCACAACCAGGGCGGCAAGGAAGTCAGTGATCTGACTGCTGATGATAATTATGATTTTGAAACCAGTCTCGGCAGCGATACCCCCAAGGCTAAGGGTGTCGGCAATAGTGGTCTCATGACGGAGCCACGCAACTTCGCTCCACGCACGATGAGCCACCTTGGAGCGCCTCCCAAGTTCAACTTGGTCAAGGTGCACAATGGTGTCAATACTCCTGCTTCGGGCACTCAGGATCCCTTCGTGTCTTCTGCTTCGCACGGTGGCGCTGCTCAGCCGCCTATGTTTGGCTCGCAGATCGATACCACCCACTTGCTCGCGACTGGCCAGATCTCTTTCCCTGCCGCTACAGGCGACACTTTGCACTTCGACAATCTCCCTCGCGATGATGCTGAGCCGCCCGTCCCGAACAATACCACCGGTCAGGTTCACCAGCCCAACTCGAACAACGGAGGACATGCTGCCAATGTCCCGAACATGCCTGCTCCTGCCCAGCAGGCGGGATTGTCCCAGCCGCAGCTTCAAGCTTTGCCTCTTGCTGAAAACAGTTTGGCAATCGTTCCGTATCAGATTCCTTACCAGGCCCCCTACCAGGCCCCCTACCAGGGTACTTTTCAGGGTGGCTACCAGCTTGAGGAAGCTGTTGCGACTTACGGCGATGTGGTGCCTGACTACATCCGGGCTCAGCGATCGACGCAGCTGAACCGCCTCACCGGTGGTCCCACTGGTCGACCTACCGCGAATGAGGCCATGCACCAAGTGAACTTCCCGTTCGTTGAATCTCCCCCCCGCGCTTCTCACTTCATGGTTCGCGGCGTCATCAAGATTGGAAATGTTTGTTCACCCCAAGGCCTTTCCTCGTCATTGTCATAGACACTAACACGTTGCCAGATTCCTTTCGTCACCAACCGCTCCGAGATCATTGCTATCCTGGGTCGTAACTCCCGTATGCTCAATGACACGGATGAGCCTGTTCACATCATCATGGAGCGTGTCACTGGCAAGACCACTGACGCTTATGTCGAGTTCCACACCCTTGAGGATGCCTCCAAGGCCGTCGAGAAGCATCATCAGAACCTCGACCGTGGTAGAGTCACCCGCATCGGCCAGCGCCCTGTCGAGATTGAACTTTCTAGTCAGGCTGCTCTCATGAAGGACCTGTTCCCCAACGCCAGGGGTGTATTCTGGGCTGGTCTTCACCCCCACATCCTCCCCAACAACGACGAGGAGCCTTGGGACAACTTCAAGGGTTTCGTGTCTAACGAGGAGATGACTATGCTCGTCAAGCATGTCGAGGTTCCCCACCGCGTAGGTACCCTCAGTTCGTGTGCTTATGGGCCTGTGGCTAACCATCCTACAGTCTCCCTTCTCGAAGGAGTGCCCTCAGCGTCCTTTCGAGTGCCTCATCAGCACCCTGACCAAGTTCCCTTGGCAGATGAAGAACCACGTCACTATTCAGCAGCGTCATGCCATGTACAAGGCTACGTGCGATCTTCTCCGCATCCTCGTGGGCAACATCCGCGACAAGCGTGACGAGGTCAACCTTACTCATCGTCTAGTCAAGCGAGTCGTCGCCGCGGCGATGCGCTGCGAGGGCTTCTCGATTACCCAGAAGGACGACATTGCCTTCATTGTCGACATGAGCGAGATGGAGCAGCGCTCCTTTGGCCAGCCGCGCTTTGCTGAGAGCTGGCGCCACCTCTACGTGCTGGTCCCCAAGAATGGCGTTCCCTTGGATGTCATCGAGGTAAGTCATACGGTCTTTCCTCTGGACGATGGTTCGGGAATGAAGAGTTTGAGCTAACCAGTCGTCTTTCGCAGTGGTACATTGCGGTTATCCGCGAGGAGACTACCCGCCACCTGGAGATGCAGTCGTTCCAGGAGAAGTGCCAGACGTGCACCATCGGCGATGCCACCGACGGCTACTTTGGCTTCTTCTGGCGCGAGCTGAACCTGCGTGTCGGACCTGACTTCGACCGCATGACTCTTGCAACTCTTGCCATGCACGAGTACCAGACGCTCGAGGCGATCATCCGCCGCGCCCTGACTCCTGCTCTTGGTCACTAATGTAGAGTACAACAGACCTGGGGAACAAGACGAGGCAAAAATGGGGTGCTGAGATGGCTTCGACGAATGAAGTTTGCACACTGCTTCGGTTTTCTCCTTTTAGCTCTGCTTATCTGCACTTTTGCTCTTACGGAAGGCACTTGGCTTGGCGGTTGGGCCTAGGTTTTTCATGGTTTTGCATTCTGCGGTTGTTTCTTGGGCTTTTCTATCCTTGGGGGGTTTGGACGAGTCAAGCACAGGAATGAGGGCTCGGAAATCAGGATGGAGTCCTTTGGTTTGTCGCACGCTGACATCTGGAAACTATGGATGTTTCTGGGTTTCTTTCACAGGTGGAGGATAGGCTTCTGAGATTACCTTACTGAGATAGCGGGTTCGAGTGGTTGAAATTCTCTATATCCGATCAATAAGACCTCTAGAGCAGTTCTCTACAAACTTCTGGTACCTGGCCGTTGGGCCCCCCTTTCTTTCCTTTGTTCTTGACAGGTTGAAACATTCCCGTCAACCCGTCGTTGGGGGCACAACGTCAGGTAGGCTGGCGTAAGTTTCGCGTGGCGTGTAGACGGCGTGATGGCGTCGAAAGGGCTGACTGGGCGATGGCAAACGTCCCGTTTGTGCAGTTGAGGTTGAAGTTGGCGAGTGGAGTGTCTTATGTCAGCCAGCACCAGATGGGGGACTCTTGGCTGATGGACCAGTCAGAATGCCGCGAAGGGGGAGTGGAGAAGGGTGCACTAAGAGCTGCAGGTACCGCCTAGACCTGGAGCGGCATCGCCCGGCATCGTGCGGCAGCTGGTCCATCGGTCCTGCACGCGGCAGGCGCAACCTGCCCAGGGAGCTCGATAGGGTGACCCTCAGTGGGCATCTGGCAGCTTCCATTTGCTACGGTACCTTAGGCGCTCTGCCGACCCGCTACAGTGGTCTTTCTCTAGTAAGGTAGATTTGTTGGCGAGAAAGCACCTACTTCAGGCACGGGCCAACGGAGCGGGGCCCTTTTTTTTTTTCCCTTCGTGCCTTCCTCCTCAATGGAAGGTTTTGGTCTTGGACGGTACCGGAGCGTCGCTTGGGAGATCACCGGGCTCGGAGGTGTTGGTAACTTTCAGTGGTATTCGTACTTATTTTGGCCCGACGCTTGCACTAACCTGGACGACCGACTCAATGGTCTGCGGCAGGGACAAGAAGGACAAAAAAGCCCTTGAAACATTTGACGGCGCGGACGGACGACTGGCTAGCGGCATTCGGCGGCGGCTGATTATGGCGGGGCACATTAGCACTGCATGGCCTGGAGGCTGGAAGATCGGAGGTAATTGGGGCCCTGGGGGTGGAAAGGGTTTGATGAGATATCCGTTTTGATGGAGAGGCGTCCATCACTCGTGCAGCGTGCTGCCTTCACATCGTCTTGTGGTCCAAGTCTTCGTATCGTGCTCCCTCTGCCTACCTAATACAGCATATTGAAGCACCACAGACTCTGAGGTTACATCGGTCCATCGATCAGTGATGAGGTCGAGTGACTCGAGTAGTGGAAACTCGCGGCGTCGTGCACAGTAGGGATAGCTTGTCAAGGCAGTGGGCCTTGCTCAATTTGCAAGTTCCAACGAGGGAAAATCGGTATCAAACATTGAATCCAACAACAACAATTGCTTTCCTTGGTTCATGAAGCTTCGTTGGATGGAGTAAGAACAAAAAAAAAGGAAGAAACAACTAGGGACAAGGAAGTTGAGGACAAGGAGTTTACATGTCAGGACTGTGACCCCATCCAAGCTCCGTCGAAACAGAAGGCGCAAATCACCTGCGAAAAAGGGGGTCCTCTCCACTCCACTCTCCCGTCTGCACAGGCCAGGACTGCAGCCCAGCTCAGCTGAGATTGTTTTGTATTGGATGTGAGAGTACGAAGAGTGAGTGGCAGTGGCGGCGGCGGCATCATCGTCATCAAAAAGACATGACCCAACTGGATGGGTTGATACCTCGAGTTTCCCCGGAAGCAACGCACAGAGCACTCGAGACGGTTGAAAGGCAAACGGCCTGGCGTGGAAGCATGACAGGTAAGGTACCTTACTTTTAGGTACTTGGGCTGAAGTTGTAAGAATAGGTAGGTACGGATAACTTAAGGCAAGGTACCACCTACCTTACTTTACCTTACCTTAGATGGTGATGGGAGTAAGGATGGGAGTGACCCTTGGTCCTTGGAACATGAAGTGGACAGGGTGATTTTGGGTTCCATTGCTCTTTCCCGTTGCCGTTGCTGCCACAACTTGACGTTGCCGCTTCTTGTGTGGTGTGTGTGGTCTGTTTGTTGCTGCCACTTTCCGTCTCCCATCAGATTCAATTACTTTTAGTACCCGAGCGCACCACGTACCTTCCAGTTGCAATTCCTACGTACCTTCCCTTTCATACTCCCATCCTCTCGCTCATCGTACCTACCTTATCTTACCGCCTGGCCTGCCTGCCTGCCTGCCTCGTTACCCAACAACACGTTCACTTTTTAAGGGAAAAAAATAATAGTCACCCCAACAGACCGGGACAGATACTACACACGCGCACACACGCACGCTACCTTACCTACCTTACACACACTCTCGTACACACCTGAGGCAACTTGACGCGACTTTGCAGCAAGAGGGGCTGGGGCAGAAAAACCGGCCTGAACTTTTTTTTCTTATCATCTTATTTTTCCGAACGAAAAGACGCCAGCCAGGAGCTGTCACTCTCGGAATTTTCACCCTTCACTTCCCACACTCATTCCTTGACATCCTCTCAGTGTCACTTTCACTCTCAGACTCATCTCACTCACGGATTTTTCTGATCCCATCATGTCTGCTCAGACCACCGACACGCCCGTCGCGGCACCTGCCCCAGCTGTTGCTGCTGAGGCCCAGCCGGCCGCCGCTGCACCTGCCGCGGAGCCGACTTCGGCTGACGCTCCCGCACCCGCCGCCGTTGCTGCTGCCACCCCTGAGGTCAAGCAGGAGCAGAAGACTGAGAAGGCCGCCGCTCCTGCTGCCGAGAAGCCCGTCGACAAGGCCCAGACTCCCCTGTCTTCGCTCTTTGAGAAGCTTCCCGCCATCTTGGCCGAGGCCAAGCACAACGAGATGTGGGGTGTGCAGCTCTCCGACGACACCCACGTTCCCACCACCGTCGTCTTGCAGAAGTTCCTTCGCGCCAACGAGGACGATGTCTCCAAGGCTGCTGACCAGCTCCAGAAGGCTCTGATCTGGCGTCGTGACACTAACCCTGGCAAGCTTCTTGATGAGGTCACTTTCGATGGAAAGAAGTTTGGCGATCTCGGCTATGTCACCACCCACAAGGACGCCCAGGGCAAGGAGATGATCATCACCTGGAACATCTACGGAGCCGTCAAGGACAAGAAGGCCACCTTTGGCAACGTCGATGAGTGAGTACCAACCCAAGAAGATGAGAATTCCAGCATCACATGAATGGCATCCGACTTACACATCTAAATAGGTTCATCAAGTGGCGCGCTGCCCTTATGGAGCTCAGCGTCCGCAAGCTTAACCTCGACAAGGTCCAGACCGCCATTCCTGATGGCGGCGAGGACCCCTACCAGATGATCCAGGTCCATGACTACCTCAACGTCAGCTTCCTCCGCATGGATCCCGCTGTCAAGGCCGCCTCCTCAGAGACCATCAGAATCTTCGCCATGGCCTACCCTGAGCTTCTCGTCCACAAGTACTTCGTCAACATCCCCGCTCTGATGGGCTGGGTCTTCAAGGCGATGAAGGTCTTCCTCGCTCCCAAGACCATCGCCAAGTTCCACCCTCTCGGCTATGGTAACGAGTTGGGCGGGGAGCTCCCGGCCTACAAGGACTCGCTCCCCAAGGAGTACGGCGGAAACGCTGAGGGCATCAAGACCACCGGCCAGACCGTCAAGCTCACAGAGGCTGAGGCCCCTGTCGAGAAGCCCGCGGCTGATGCTACTCCTGCCCCCGCCGTCGCCGCGCCTGTTGCGACTGAGGCCCAGCCTGCCGCCGAGGCTCCGTCGGCTGTCGCCGCTGAGACTAAGGCCGTCGAGACTACCCCTCCTGCGGTTGCTGTCACCGAGCCCGCCGTCGCTTCTGAGCCTGTCAACGCTGCTCCTGCGGCTGCTGAGACTGAGAAGACCGAGGTTCCCACCGTTGCCGACTTGAGCATCAATGACAAGACCGAGGCCAAGGAGGAGGCCAAGACCGCTGCCGCCTAAAGGATAACTTTACGGCTTGCATGGTTTGATTCTCTATTCGTGGCTTTTTTCCTTTTGTTACATGCCTTTGAATCTGTGGGCTGGACCTTGGTTGGTTTTTCGGGAACATGAGAATGATGTTGTCGCAAGAGATCCATCGGGTTTCCAGGCATTCAGGATTTGCTCAATCCTTTCTCAAGAGAGAAAGAGAGGGGGCAGAATCCGGAGTTCGCCCACTGCATTTTCTCCTTGCGTTCATGCCATAATACCCTTCTAGTGTGTGTTTGTGGCGTTGTCAATTCGAATTCAAATCTTTCGATCGAAGACAGAAAGGAATGGGATCAGAACAGAGAGACTAGCAGGAAAGGATGGGAATGTCTCCTCTTTAATACCTAGGTTAGGAAGAAAAATAAAATCGAATTCGACCATTCAAACCCGCTGGAACCTTGAGCATGTGAGAATGTGTCAAACTGACTCGAAGAGAGGAGAGCCCCATCCAGAGTGAAACTGTGCTGCGTTTCCTTGCCCTTCAGCTGCTTCTTCCTCCCCCATGTTTGGCGGTCTGCCAGCCGAGTGCATGGATATCCTCAGAGGGTGTGGTGATTGTGCCCGCCGGGTGGTTTGCGCACCCACCTGCCTTGTTCGACCCGCATCCCGGGGGGATAAGCAGCGGTAGTAAAGTGGCAGCACCCTCACATATTTTCGCGATTGAGCATCGTTACATCTCGTGATTTTCTCGAGTTGTTATTCGTTGATGCGTTGAATTACCACAAGCTCTGGATACTATGGACTCGAGCGAGACGTTCTTCTCTCAAGTAGGCGATGAGTTGCACCCAACCTGTCCCTGTAACCATTGCTTCTGTATCGAAGGCGGCGGGTGCCACGCGGATGGTGTCATCTCAGTGAAATCAACCAGGGGAGGTTATATCTATGCTAGCCACCAATCGTCGGAGCTTGAAGGAATGACTTACAACCGATTTCTCATCCATTCAATCGGCAATTATCTCTTCTCCATAATTGCAACTTGAGCCCATACTGGAAGTTGAGCATCTGACCTCATTCCTGCTGTCATCTACAGCGTCAATCAAGGTCGTGAGTGGTCCATCTCATGCAAGTTCATGGGGTTTAGACAATAACTTCACAGGTGTCCATGCGTACAACTAATTGATGTTCGCGAAGTGAGACTGCTGGCGTTCGGGATGTTCGTAGCAATTTGATGGCCACAAGTCTCGGACACCTGTTGGGGCATACCTGAGTCTCTGAGGATTGAAGCCTGAGTGCCACCAAGTGACCGATCTGGACGAGCGGCTGTGAAAATTGGGGCATGACTGATTTTGGATACAGCGCAAGATTGACATCAATCATTAGATGCGGTGTTCAGACCTCGTAGTGGTACTGTTGCAGGCATCGTTATCTCTGCTTCGTGATGTCTTCTCGTAGACAGCTAGTGAGGGCATCAGGACTTACACCGAGTCTCAATTCGGCACGAAACAAGTGAGTAGTTTTCTAAATAGCTCAATACGCCATGTTTGAACATTTGCTTTCTCGCCATCTGTGAGCGATGATAATTCGGGTGTCTTGTTTTGCAAGTGTGTTGGACTACAGCGGGTGTTTCAAGCCCCGACGTTGAATGGAAGAAGAAGTGACTTCCTCCAGGAAGAGACTCTTGAATAAATGACAATCAAGGCATTTGGCCGCTCAAATAAGTTTCTCCTTGGCTGTCTGCAGTCATGTTGGCTATTTTGGGCCACTTAATCTAGATAGAATATTCTCAAGTGCGACATGATTCGGAGATTATGATGCCTCACTCGCCATTTGAGCATGCCACCCGGATTTCATGATGATGAACTTGGCCAGATATCAGTCAAAGTCGCAGCTTCATCGTTGAGAATTATCAAAAGTGGCAATCATCAGTAGAAATCCTAGACTATACAGATGTTATTGTATGTTGGTCGAATTACATCTTATGAGTACAGTCGAAGTTGATCAATATCAGGAGCTGTTTGCTTGCTGCCCCCAATCGAGCCGAACCGACATGGATGACCCAATACGGCGAGTGGTCGAGACGAGGAGGAGGATGCAGGTAAAGTGTGGTGTTGCCCATCATGCCTGTATCGGGGCGAGGCTCAGCGCAGCAGCACGGCGGTGGCGCCGGCGATTGAAGCAAAACGCAGGAGGTGGTCCGAGAAGATACAAGCAACGCAACCAGATGACACTTGAACCTTTGATTTTCAACGACACGAGGGTCATCGGAAACCTCAATCTTGTAAACCCATTATTCCATGGACTGGTTGCTGGAGGTTGTGAGTTCTTGATGAAGCTGACTTTTGGTCTTTCGGCTTATCCGGCCGTGTAGTTGGCTAGAGCGTAAGTCAGCAGGATGAAGGATCCCATGTTCAGGGTGTATGTACAAGTGGAGGAGAGAGGCAAAGACGAGAGTGAGAGAGAAAAGGACGGGATAGATGGAGAAGAGAGGACACACACACAGAGTCCCGCGTACGCACACGCAACGCAACACGGACCAGGGTTGTGTTTACCTCTAGAGGTTCCCCAGCCCAAAACGAACGAGGCCCGAAGAGAGGCCAGGCCACATCCATCCACATCCAGAGACTAACTGAATCTCCGTGTTCTTACTCTCTCTCACTGTCATTTCCCCTCTCCCGTCTAATCCACTCTTCCTCTCCATAGTCTCGGTGTATGTGTGCATGTCTCACGTACACACTCTCTGACATTGCTATCTACTAAATACACGCAAGACTGGCGCCAGTCGAGACCGGTCAAAGTCAGACAAGAGACGCACAACCTAAGTAGAAGTGAAGAAGCGCGGCGTCCGACTGGCCCAACACACCAAGGCAAGCCTTCCCGCCCTGGTTCTTTCACAAGGTACAAAGGTCAGCAAGGCCCCGTTCCTCCCCGACTGTATCGTATTTTTCCCTCTCTTTCCCAACTCCTGCGTGCGTGAGCCCTCAACCACGTCTTTTCCGACTTCAAGCCTGTACTATTCGGTTCGAGATCTTTTACTCCTTTTCTGGGTTGACTTTTGCAATTTAGTCAGTCCTATCGCCTTCTGACTCCGCAAACGGTGCAGAGAAGAATAGCCAAAGCCGAAACCTAACGGACCTAGCCGTTAAGTACTCAGAGTTAGGTGGGCGAGGCAAGCCGCAAGTTAAGCAAGCAAAAGCCAGCAGCACCCAGACCGATACAGCAAGCAAATCCATCAATCAACGACCACCGGTCAACCACCTCGATCCATCCATCAAATCAATCAAATTCAGTCGCGTCCCCACTCCCCGCGCTCTGTCCTCAACACGACACTGGATAACCTGACGGGACGGAAGCTCCCTCAAAAGTCGTCCTTCTCAACCCATCACATCCCGCCATCCGCACCGATTCCTCCTTTCACCTACTTCCTTACCGCATGTACCCCCCTACTTTACCTTAGACTCCGTGTCTTTGTCTCATCCCTCCATCTCGCCCTACCTTACCACACTTCACTCCACTTCACTCCACTCCAGATCAACTCTTGTTCTCGGGCTTATCACCACTCACCCAACCTTCAACGCTACCACATCTCACGCGCGCTCTTACCAGAAATTGAACCGCGCTTACTCACAGCAATATCGAAAATCCATCACGGAATTTCCAGCAAACCACAATCAACCAATTGTCCAATACAGACTTCGGACCTCGGGGACATTTTTTGACTTTACCAATTTTTATTTGGTTTCCCTTGTTCCCTCATCTTTCCCCCTTTTTACACTCCCTCCGCTTGCTACTCGGCTGAAAGCGCGCTTTGGTTTGCTACGGCACAGAGTACCTCGTCTGCCAAATACCCTCAGAAACTACCTTTACCTTATTGCCACTCAATGCCCGGCCGGTAAGGTGAAAGCTAAGAGGCAGCGAACGAGCCAATTCTGCGTGCCTGGGGAGACGGTTTCCGCACACACCCCGGTCTAATCCCTCTCCTTGGCCTTTTTCGTGTCTGGAACTTCTCTGGACCTCCCACCCCCCAACTTTCTTCCCACCTCGCAACACACGCACACTCTGTTTTGGAACGCGTCGCATCTCCCCTCTACCGACCTCCAAACACGACATAAACCACGCAAAAGTTCAAAATCGCGTCGAGACTGGGTATTTTCGCCCAATATGTCTCTCCTACATAGCGAAAGCGGCTTGCTGTCCGCTCTCGCTACTGATTCCTCGTCCAACATCGCGTCTTCCAGCTCCACGCCTCCCACCAGCATATCCGATGTTGCTAGCCAGGCCTCGGAGGGCCCCAAATTAGACGACGTCCCCATCATCCTCGAAACCGAAACTATTATCGAGACCGAAATCGAGGCTCAAATCGAAATCCCCGCGGCCGCTCTTCCGACTCCCGACCCTGCACCCGAAACACCCTCGGAACCCCAGCCCGCAGCGCGCCCACGTCGGTCTTGCTCAGGAAAGGGCGTATACAACCTCTCAAAACTCAGCGGCACGGCGAACCGTGGTCACCGCCGCTCCAAGGGCGACATTGTCGCTGCTGACCGGCGCCGGACCATTTCTGGCGACACGCTTGTCGATGGCGAAGCCAATGCGGACGAAGTGACGCGTGTCGCCGGCAATCTTGTCCGCGACGGCATTGACGCGTTGAACCTCCAATGGTCTGTTGGTGCTCTCAAGACACCGCGTGCGAAGGTGACAACTACGGAAAAGGCGGCGACGTCGCGGATTACTCGTCATGCGGCGCGTCTTATCGGCACCCCTGTCGAGACTCTTGCGACCAAAGTCTCTAATCTCGGCAAACGGAGTCGCAAAACCTTTGAGAAGAACATGTCCAAGATTCCCCGCGAATTGCGCCGCCTGCAAGACACCAAGGAGTTCACCGGCGTTGACGAGAAGGCTGTCATCAGAACGGTCTGGTCTAATGGAAAGCTCGTGATCTTGGACGAAAATGGCAACATCCCCGCGCCACCGGCCAAGAGGGCCAAATCTGAGCCGCTCGAGACCAAGAAAGAGGAGGTAGAGGAGAAGGCTGAGAAGGCTGCCGACGCCCCATCCAAGAAGACGAAGCGCCACAAAAAATATCTCGATCGTGGACTGTATGCCGGCCAATCGGCTCCATCTGATTTGACCAAGGGTCTGTCGATACCTGAGCAGAGAAAGCTTGCGCAAACACCGGAGCTCAAGGATTACGGCCGCCCCAACAAGGCCCTGCCATTGCCCATGTTTAATGGACTGCGCCTGCTGCTCAGCGGTCGCGATTTCAAGCTTCCCTTTGACGTCTGCAATCCTCTGCCGCCTGGCCAGCCGAAGCCCGACGATTTCCGCAAGATGACAAAGAGTTAGATACCATTCGCCTCTAGTTGACTCCCCTCACTGACCTTGATACAGATCGTTTCGTTGGCGATTCTCTGAGCCTGTGGAAGAAGACACCACATTTCATCGACCAATCCAAGTGCGTCTGCAAACCCGAGGATGGATGCAGCGAGGACTGCCAGAACCGAATCATGCTGTACGAGTGCGACGACAAGAACTGCAATGTGGGCCGGGAAAACTGTACAAACCGCGCCTTTGCCGATCTTCAAGAGAGAAAGGCAGGTGGCGGCAAGTACCGCGTTGGTGTCGAGGTCATCAAGACGTCTGACCGTGGCTACGGCATTCGTGCGAACAGATGCTTCGCGCCGAACCAGATTGTCATGGAGTACACCGGCGAGATCATCACCGACGAGGAATGCAACAACCGCATGGAAACCAAGTACAAGGACAACAAGGTGGGTAAAGACTTGGCCGAATGTACCGCTCAGCAAAGCTAACCACAACACCAGTGTTACTATCTCATGAGCTTCGACCAGAACATGATTATCGACGCCACGACTGGTAGCATCGCTCGTTTCGTTAACCACTCATGTGCTCCCAACTGCCGCATGATCAAGTGGATCGTGTCTGGCCAACCTAGAATGGCATTGTTCGCGGGGGACAAGCCCATTATGACGGGCGAGGAACTCACTTACGACTACAACTTCAGTCCGTTCAGTGACGAGAACGTCCAGTCATGTCTCTGCGGCGCGCCGAACTGTCGAGGGATCTTAGGGCCCAAGCCTCAGGAAGTCAAACAGCCCAAGCCTCCCAAATCGACTATCAAGGCAGTGGTCAAGAGCGCCGTCAAGGCGAGCAAGAGAAAGATCGAGACGATGATTGGCGACGAAGAAGATGGTGGCTCCGCAAAGAAGCGCAAGATCAAGGCCGCCAAGGGCGTGAGACGATCACTATCTTCGACCGGCTTGCTCACCAAGGCTGCGTCCAAGGGGGCGGCCACGGTTAAGAGACGTGTGTCGGCCATGGCAATTCTCGGCGGCACTAGCAAGACGAGCACCCCGGTGAAAACGGCCAAGGCCGCGAAGGCGACTCCGGCGAAGGCTGCGGCAAAGAAGGCAACTCCGAAGAAGTCAACGCCGAAGAAGTACACGGCTCCCAACCCGGCGCGCAAAGCTACCACAGTCCGTAAGTCGGGCTCCGGAAAGATGCTAAAGACATACGGAAAGGTCTCGCCTAAGAAGCTGAGCAGCCGTGCGCCGAGCATGACGATTGTGGCCGCGGGAGCAGAGAATGAGGAGGAGCTCACCCCGGAGAAGAGCAAGGCCCAAAAGCTTCACCGAAGTCTTAGCAAGGCATCTCGCAACGCACTGGAAGAGCTCTCACGCGGTTCCACCATCCGTCTCGTAAGCCCCGAGCTTGTGAGCCCAGGGGCCACGATCACAGCCCGGCAAGACTAGGCGAGCCAGTGGCGAAGTCTGGGCCACGTTGTATGAGGCATTCATTATGCCTATCCATCATATTGAATCTTGACGTCGACAAACGAGGGCGGCACGGATGAGTTTGGCGTTGGCAAGGTGTTTTCGGTCATTCAACAGGCGAAACGGAGGCAAGGCATTGTACATTACGGGAATCGAAGGGAAGGACGACATCGTACAGGGGAGAGACGAATGAAGAAGTGACGAAAGGGGAGAGGCGATGAGAGACATGGACGTCAAACAACTTTTGGACGGACGTCGGTCTCTGCCTCAGTTGGGCATTCACCCTTCTCCCCTGCGAAATCTGGCTGCATACGTTTTATCGGAACTGGGGGACTTCATTGCCAGTTGCAGGGAGGGTCTAATCAAATATTTTTTTTATAACTTTTTTCCCCCTCAAATGGTGGTTAGCAGCAGCAGCTCTAGGCATATTCTATTTTAACTGGCATGTTACAAATTTCTTCCGTCAAGGTGGCAGGGCCCTTGTCATTGCTTCTTGAGTGCACAAAAGAGGGAGTGTTTAATGATGACTCGAGGTGTATTTTCAACGACGGCCAGTGGTTTCTTCTCGAACATATTGTGACTAGCGTGAGGTTGAATTCGTTCACCGAGCCTAGACCGCGAGGCGGCACGCGCTGGACGAGGTCAGAGGGAGGAGAGTGAGCAATCCATCCGGGTACGGAGGTGAAGGAAATCGAGCAATGAGGCGAGTGATGGGGGGGCTGCTGCGAATGGTTTGATGGCCAATCAATGAGCACAACCGTGGTAGGCTCGAGCAGGGAGCTAACGCTCGCTGCATGGACCTTTTACGCTACCCCCGAGACCCCTAATTGGCCTCCCCTCCTTCCAGAAGCCTGCCTAGACTGGATGGAAAATGCAACGTCGGGCGTAAGCGGGCTAGCGGCGTAGCAAACAGCAAACAAACAGCATTGGGAGAAAGCCATTTTTAGCACGTAGTTGTGTGTTGCGGCGCTTTGTGCTCCGATTTTCGCGACAAAGATTCATCCGTATGGTCGAGGGTGCAAGTTTCTCTTTTCTTTTTTCCTTGACGTTGTCGGTCGCAACTTTTCTTGACTTTCTCGCCTGGGGATTAGAGGAACTCAGCCTAGGCGTCTTAGGACGAGAAGCTTGGTTAGGCACGTTTCTGCCTCGTCGGGCGGCCCGCTACGGTTTCTCAATCATGGCTTGTTCTTTTTTTGCTTGTGTTTCTTTGTTCTTTGAGATCTCAGCTTGCCAAACTTGCTCTCTCGCGTCTCTCTTCATGAGGTGGCTTGGCACTGGGCAGGTGTGGTAGGCGTGGCAGTCAGAAGTCCATTGTCCCGGTCGCGCGACAAAGTGCAGAGGTGTGGCGGACCGGGTCTTACTCCGACGGCAGCAACACTTGAGGTGTGGCTGGTGTGGTGGTGGGAACGTGACATGAGTAGGCAGCGGTGGCTAGTGTATCCGCGCAGATATGAAGGGGCCGGGCGAAGTGGAGCCCATCTGTCAATGGACGGGACTGGAAGCAATGTGGGGCCGGGGGATGGATACCTGAAAGCCGGTGAAGCACCCTCGCCGAAGACAGACTTTCGTCGGCCGGTGTGTTCTTTCTTTTCTGTGTTGCTTTCACTCCACCGAACGTTGTAGAGTCAGGTAGGCACGTGGTATGAATCTTCCATCCCTTCCCACCTTGAGGTAGGTACGCGGCCATTCATTCGCCATAAACGTTGAAGAGCCTCATGTCTGCAAACCAACCAACCAAAAGCGCAACGTAACGTATTATGGCACAGATTTTCAAATGTGTAAGAAATCTATAACTACCCAATCACCATAATTCGTTCCAAAAAAGTCGCGGCCATTAGGAATGCTCAGCGGCCTCACAGCCACGTTGCAACCTTCAATCACGTCTCCATCACCAAAGTCCCAAATTTCTTGAGCCGCATAGGTCCCGTGACCTTGCGGCTCAACTACCCCTCCCTGTCTCTGCCGTCGCGCGCAGTCTCTCATCCACCCGCCGCCCACCTTTGGGGAGGCAGAATCCTTCCTTTTCGCAACAACATCAACGAGCCCACGCTACGTGTGGCGCGCTGGACCATTTCAACCCCGACACTTCATTTTGCTCAATTCCGCGCCTGCGCACTTTCGCATGTGTGCTGCTGCGCAATCAGTACTTTTTAACCCCTCAAGGCAACAACTGGAGCTAAGGGAACCTAAGCTTCGTTCAAAGTGGGGCCGAGTCATCGTCATCCCCTGGAAGCTTCATCCTCGCCCTCGCTCGACAAATCCGCAAAACATCGCCAAAAGACAAGGCAGCCGCTAGAAGCACTAGCCACCGCCAATGTCCACTTTTTGCTCTCACCGGATCAACTGGATTACATTTCAAATCAATTGTTACAAAACAAAACCTGATCTATTCACTATGCTGAGTGCTCGCTCTGAAGCTAAGTCTATCTAATTCTATATTGTCTCGATTGTCTCGATGTCGGGGAGGGCTCGTTTTCCCTGCCCACTTCGTGTACGGTGCTGGGTATTGAGTGGTCGTCCATGATCCGTGGCTGTGCCCGACCAGCGGTTGCCTTTCTTCCTTTCCTGTCCATCCTCTTTTGCGTCTTCATCCTTGTGGTCCTTGTAGCGGCACCTTTTCCCTTCTGCTGTCTGAAGGTTCTTGTCTGTCGGCCCGTCGTAGTCGCGACTGGTGGCGGTGAAGTTGAAGGACGAGATGTCCGAGGCGCCACACATGGGTGGCACCCGCCATGTCAGGCAGGCCATAGATTGGCGAGTGCCATCAAGAAAGTGTTCATTGTCTACGAGGTCACTGGTTAGTCTCTAGTAGACCTCTTGAGGCAAGGCATGCTGGGACTTACTTAACGGCCGGCCTTGACTCTGGCCTGCGTGACCGTGCAATGCCTGCACTGCTGGTGGTAGCAGGACGCGCAGTGTGTTTGGATCGTGCAGTTGTAAGGTCCCAAGGAGCAGTTGTGCTAAAAGAGTCGATTAACAAAGCGTACATCGAGTGACAGAAGACAATGTCGTTTGAACTTACGCAGTACCACACGTTGGAGATGACGTACTTAGGCATGGTGAGCCTAGAAAAGCGAAGAGAGTATATGAGTTGAGTCGAGGTGGTCTACTAAGAAGTCTAGTAGAGAGGCAGTTGGTTCTGATGCGTTTGCGTCTGAGATGATGAAGTGCTTCTTTTCGTATTGCTTGATGGGATCACATCGAGTTTATAACCTCTTTCATCACCCTTATTGTTCCAATATCTCCATGTGGAATTGGAAAAGCCTACGGGGAGCAGACGCGCGAGTGCGCATTTCCCCTTCCTGGGTCGTAACCTCGGTGAGTGTCAAGCATCTTTGTGGTTTGTACGCTTTTTCGCGTAGAAAATATTAATGGAGCTGGGGCTGTGGCGTGGCCTCCCCCCGTTTCCTCGGTGTACCTACACTTTCATGAACCCCCCTTCCACGCCAATGATTCTCCAAGTTGGCCTCGTCTCGAAGAAAGCCTATCTCTGCTTGACTCTTCCGGGGCTGCCTTGTTGTGTAAAAAAGGCCGTTCTGTTATTACAACTACGGCACATTACAATCCTGCGCCACCGCTTGGTCTCGTCGGTATGGGAAAACTTGACCGATATTTACCTGTTTGCCAATGTTACCCACTCGAGCTACGCAGACTCGAACGCCCTGTCTTACAGACCGAGGACTCTCACTTCATGAATGTGTCTCGGCTGTTCCTCGAAGTCAGTCTTGACAGCGTTCTACAGTACCTGCCACCGAGGCACCGGATGAAGGCGCCTCGAGTCAAGATGTCATCGAACGTCCATTACTGGCTACGGATAGCAATGCAATTAGGCAAATTTGGCATATCATACTGGCGACATCACCCGGTCGAGCGTAGAGTGCTGCGCAAAGAATGTCTCGTTACAAGACGTCAAATTTCTACACGGAAGGGCGGCCGGTTTGGCAAATCACCACGAGCCACACTTTACAGTCACAAAAGCCTTGTTCTTTCAAAGTCTCGTTCGCAATTGCAAGCCCACTGCTGGGCCGATCACAGCCTAAGCTACGATCATCTTAGTGCTATCTATCTGTATGGTATCTGTCGCAATACCCCTTGTCTCCTTCCCCCGCGTCTTCTACAGTTTAGGAACATTCCTACAGACACTCTCATCCAAGATGAATCGCACCCGCTCATTGACCGACACGCTGGCGGATCATGCTGGTCTGGCAACTGTGGCAGCGTTGATGTCTACAGTTGGGACAGAATACGTCAAGCTGAATGTTCCACGGGCCATTGGTGGTACAATGATCCTAAAGGCAGAGCATGTTAGTCGGACGATGCCATACAAAAGGCAATATGAGCTGGGATGGGGCCATCACTCACACAATACCAGACCATGACGTCAACGTACTGCCTCTTGCCGCTAGAACCAGAACTGCTGCCGTGGGGTTTTCCGTGGGAGCTGCCGTGGCCCTTGGAGCTTGAACTCTTGTGGTGACCCATTGCTGGTGTTGATGTTTGATGTGGTAGAAAGAGGTTAATGAAGGTCTGGAGAGTGATGAGAGTGATGAGAGCGTGCTATAGCGGTTCTTAATGAAGTCTCTGAGAGCTGTTGCTGGTGCTGTCATCGAGAGACGATTTCAAGTTTCTGCCAGCGAGCGCAGGCCTTTCTTTTTATCTCTTTTGATTTTCGTCCTCATCCTCAGTGGCATTTTGGAATGTACCTGCGCAGGTGCGCAGTTTCCTCTGTATTTCCTCAATCAAGAGTCATAATTGCAGGTGAGCAAAGTTGCAATCCTCGATATCCTCTTCCTCAACGGCTTCCTCTGTTAGGCTTGGCTCTCGCGCCACCTCTCCCGGTAACAATTTCATATTGGTCCTCTTCCTCACTACCAATCATGACCAAGGTGGCCTCACGCGCCTCTTTTTTCCTCGCGTGTTTCCTCATTTTCCTCCGGTGTTTAATCAACGTATTACAACGGGCACCGATTCCTCGCAAAGACATTGGCCTCACTTTATGTCTCAAGAAAAAAGCAAACGTCGTTCGTTCGGTGATGCATTTGTTGCTGCCGCCGGTCTTTTCTTCTACACTCGGTGACGGGGGCGGGCGGCGCTTGTGCCTCCCATGTGGCGTAACTGCCGCCTCCGACGTCGCCCTTCCCGGGCTCCCGGTAAAAAGGGCACTTTCATCCTTCAGGGGCGGTTGGACCGTTGTGTATGTTGTGCATGATGGTCCGCCATGCGGCCATCACGACAGCTCCCGCGGCCGCGGGGTGGGAGACCAATGCAGGCGCGAGGCGCAACGTCCGCCACGAGGCACCCCGGCACCAATTCGAATGTGGTAACTCTTACCCCCTACCCAGTGACTTTTTTGCCTGTGGATGAGAGAGCCTAACTCGATTGCACCACCCCCTCTATCTTCCTTTAAGTTGTCCACGCACACTCACACGAGTCGAACCACCTAGTACCGAGACGCTATTGCAGCTTCCCGCCCACCATATCCCGCCTTTTATCCAATGCTCTCCACCCCCTCGTACCCTCGTCAAGCCCATAGCCCCGGAGCCGGGAGCCAATTGAGTCTACAGGGCTTTCATGTATCTTCCTAGACCGCATGTTGGGCCGCATGCAGGTCCTCCCATGTAATTTCAAGGTTGCTGCGAGGAGGTTTGATGTGACGACGTGCCTCGACGAGGCCTCATCACGTTTCGTCATCCGAGGACGAATCATGTCGTTGGAGGAGTTGAAGGGCTTGTCGGACATTGGCTGCTTTACGAGTGTGCCTTGAGGTGGGCCTTGAGAGTTTGCGGTGGCTCATCGGACATGCTCGGATTGGATGTTTATTATAGGGGGTCATGAGGTATGCATACATCATAATTTCAAAGGGAGACGAAAGACTTTTGGCATTGGATTTTTATTGGTTTACAAGATACGACTGGCGGCGTTCTGGCTTCCTGTCAAGGATGCCTTGAGTGAGTGGCTGTTCATGTTCTCGGACAAATTACATGATGCTATTCGTCATTGTCCCTAGAGAAATCACGCCAATGGATGTTGGACAATTTCAACAGTCTTACGGCTTGCTGGTTGTAGGCAACTTGTGTGACATGTGAAACTTCCATGTGAAGCTCGGAGGAGGTCGGTCGTTGACGAACAGCAACGTTGCTCGATGCTCAAGGAAGGCGTTGCGTGGGCTTACACCGGGTCATAGTCTAGTCTCATCCGCGAATGCGACACATTTCTAGTGCCCAAATTACGAATTACCAAAAGCAAAAGGTGTCATGGCTATTCTGTTTCTTGATTATCTGAAGCTTTGCGGAATTGTGCTTGTTTGCAACTTGTGACTGTGATGAGGTTGTGTGGAGTCGGGCTTCGCCACACTCGGTCGACATACACTCCAATCGGCATTGTCCATTCCTATTTGACACTCAATTTCATCATTCATGGTATTACATGGCCCAAAAACAGATTCTAGACTTTCAAAAGGCTGAGTAACGTTGCAACCCAAAAATGAGATGAGTCCATTGAGGATAAGTCGTGAGACTTCTAGTCTATCTAGCAAATGACTTGCGTCCTAGACCCTCTAATACATATGTAATCGTCCAATGAAACGACAGTAGTGAGCAAGGAAACTAGAACTCGTAACCGCTCAAGATCCTTAACAAATGAAATCAAAATAGTAAAGAAAGCTCCAATCACATAGTCGACCCCTTCTAGGCCCCTAGCGGGAGTCGCATGCCTGCGTTGTGAGTCAGGTGAGAGAGAGACTAAAAAAGACAACGCATCCAGCCAATGAAAATAAATGAAATCTAAGTAAGTGGGAGCGAATTGAGAACTTCAAACCAATTCCATCCACCCTGAACATGCAACTCCGCGTGGGCGGAACTGGATGCCACCCCAGAAAATATCCCTGCTCCTTCCCGCATCGTGCCGTGTGCATGACCAGGAGGGGTCAAGGTACTTTCGAATGATTGCGTGCACCATAGGTAGGTTATCGAATTTGCCGCTGCTGTGATTTCGCCGGTGCAGGACAATGGCGAAGCGTCGTCGAAGGCGGCTATCGCACTCTGGTAGTCTGAACCTGGCAACGGGTGCAACGTCTGTTTTGGCATGACGGGCAGTAGTCGATTCTCGTGGTCATTCCAGCGTCACCACACATGCACTGTTAAATGTTAGTTCTTGAGTTGAAGGAGGAGGAATGGCTCAATGTTGGCTTACACATGTCCAGACCTGGACATAAGTCTTGGATGATGGCTTAGATGAGGGCATTGTGATAGATTGAGTCTTTGTGCAAAGAGACCAGAGAGAAGAAGCGGTAGATTCTTAGGTAGATCAGAGAGAAGAGTGGTAGATTCTTAGATGAGTATAACTAGCAGATGCTCGAAAGGAAGCTGAAGGCGGTGATGGTGTAGATCCAAACCATACTTGAACCTCAGGAGCCCATCTCTTATATACGCGAAATCTCAAGGCCAACTTCCATATCCCTTGGTTTGTATCGTCCGCATAGTCCCACTGTCATCACAATCGAAGGCAGTGTCAAAAGAAAAAAAGCCTGGCCGAGGCGATGGAAATGTTGGCCAACGAGGTCTCAAGCCACGTAACGAGGGTCACTAGACAGTCGTTCACGGGGAGCCTTGAACGGAGGCACCGCCGACGTGAATGAGTCCTCTTGTGGAGACTCATGCTGTCAACCGGTACCCATCGTGGCTGTTCCAGAAGGCATCCTGCTTGCCTCGGAAGAAGTTGGAATTCCACACTCCATAACGCGACCTCAAATGCTACCACTGCGCCTTCCAGTTAAGCCGCCTCTAGGCTGATCATTGGTATGTAAACTCTGCCCTAATAGGTCCCGTACAGGCGTTTCAGTTTCCGGAGCGGTGGTTCGACCGATGTCACGGTATGTTTAGGTAGATAAGAGTACGGTAGGTGGTCTGGGACAAAATTAGCCTAGACATTTTTCGAGCATAAACCCACCAGTGACGAGGAGAAGAGGAAAATATGACTCCTTTTGTCTTGCGCCGAAAGTACGGGGAAGGGTGGCAGAGCAACGCCATGGGTTAGGAAATGAGTGGCCGCCGTCTGAATCCCCAAGGTGAAGCGAATGTGCGGCTCTACTACGATGGAGGAGGCTCTACTATGCGGCTCTGCGGCTTTTAGAGGGCAAGGGGACGTTGCCCTGATACAGGCAAATGCTCACCGAATAATCAGGCACCCATCTCTCCCTACCTGAAACTCGAGGCTTTCAAAGGCTGATTCCAGAGTGAGCAGAGCCGCATGGTACGTACGCCCAAGATGGACCTTGGGCTACGATTTGGCCTCGACGTTCGAGATGGAGTCACACACTCGTTCCAGCCAGTTGAAGCTATACTCCCTCGACCCAGACGTCAGACGAAGCCTTTACTCCCACAGGTGCGCGTGCGTGATGCGTATGCGGTGCGTATGCGGCCAAGACGAGAGTGAAAACCGGTACTGAGGGGAATCAAGGGAGAGGTGTTTGCCGGAATACGGCCATTTCCGATGTGAGATGCGAACCGTCGATAGGCAGCAGTCCTGCTGAGAGAGAACAGAAGAGGCGTCGGATTGTGCTCTGAAGCGAGGTCGGACACGTGAGGAGAGAGTCGCCATGCAGTATTGCGTAAGCATGCGGAGGTCTTGTCTCAATGAAGGAACTGGACCTGCATATTGATAACATGTGTCACGTGATTCTCATAGATATCTGCGGTTGTTCGAAATCGTTTGGGAGAAGAACGAGTGCAAGCTGCAGAGTAACTTGAAATATATTTGCGGAAAGCAGGTCATAGAAACTTTCGTCGTGAATCTGATTTAAAGTCAGTCCTTGGTTAAGGTTTGGCTGGTGATGTTGAAGATTGAGAAGATAGAAACGAACCTAGGAACAAACAGTCGTACAACAGCGGGTTAAGTCTACTGTTGTAATGATAGGTGTAGAACGTAGTTGTAGAAAGACTCCGACCTATCAGTTGAGTGTACTACACCCTACAAAACTTACACACTACATAGTCGCGTTATAGATATTGTCGGTGGGAAAGATGCAGCCTTCTATCCATGCTTTTCATTCGCCGGAATCACTCCTTCGTCCTCCGACTGGTGCGATCGAATCGTGGGGATCAAAATAGCTAAGACGTATTCAAGTCGAATCGTGCCAATGAGGGTATTCGTATATTGGGGATATGTGCGACAGTCCATTCAGGTATTATTGTGTCAGCCGTCAAGAGATCCATTCCAGCGACGACGGACGGAGAACAGAGGTGAATAACGGGGATGGTCGAGCTTCTTATATAGAATTATGGCAATGCGGCTCTTTTGGCCGGCTGACCACACGAATGATACATGCGGTCCTCAGGATAGCATCAGGTCCTTGTAGTGCAAGTCTAGGCAGAGTCATACATTAATCAACTTTTCTGGACAGGTCATGCGTCGTCTGTGAGGAGCCATCAGCACATGTGCCACACAGCCTGATAATCTGCGGACCTTGCCCTTGAATTCGAGAAAAGAGATGCGGGATCTTCAAGGCAGGCCTCGATGTGGCTGGCTGTCGGACCAAAGCAGGGATAGCGTGGTAGATTGAGGTTGATGTGCATGTAAGGTAGGTGATGTGTGAGAGGCTGTGAACAAGAAGATCACAAGTACATGATCCCAACACCATGTTTTAGGGCTCAATGCCGGATAACCATCAAGTGATAGGGCTAGTTCTGATAGCGGCGTGATGAAGGGATGCTCTCAGGATAGTCGTAAGATCTTGATGGCCTGATCCTCCAGGATGTAGATCACCTTGAGTAGGAGAGCAGTCAGCACTGGGCTGTCGTATTGAAAGTGCGAGAGCCTGCCTGCCATCGTGTTACTTATGAAGAGAAGTATTTTGTAATTGTTGTCTGGAAGAAGTAATGTCCCGCGTCGGTGTGTGTTATTGCAGTTTTGCCTGCCCCTTGGTGGTGGTGGCGGCCTTGGAGGCTGCCAACTAAAACTCGCGTGGATTATACATATAATCGTCAAAAAGGTCCAACAGACATAAACAAAAGAGTTCACCCCCCAGTGGAGGCTACATCTCTGGTGCTCATGCTGGGATTCGAACTCGGGTACTCGCTAAGCCTGTCGTCGAGTAGGCTGGTTGGCGTTTTGATTGTTGACCTTTAACCACTCCACCACCCAGCCAGTTTGACCTGACCCGTCGACCAAGACGGGCGCCTCCTGGCTGGTGAAAGGAATGGACTTGGATGGGTATATAAAGGCTTTCCCGCTGGTCCTGAGCTTATTCCGTTTGGCGTCGAAAATTCTCGTGGCAGCCTAGTATGCCGGGCGTCAGGGCGTAGCATTTTCCACTCCACCCACGCTCGGCTGAAGATCTGGTCGTTTTGGTACGAGTGTCTGGAAAGGCTACAAGAGAAAGGGAAAGCACGAAGATGAATTGAACCGCAAAAGGGGTCTCTCTTTGGGCTGGAGCTGAAAGATGTAGTTTTTGATGATTACCAATGAGCTATCAGCTGATGAACAAAACCGCCACAGCTGAAACATCTACAAGCCACGTTGCCGCGTAATACCTAACGAATCAAATAGAAAGCAGTCTCGTTCTCTGATACGCAATTAAAACCGTTCATTGAAACTTGGCAGACATTGTTGTCGTAGGATGAATCAGCATGCCCACTCACTTCGTTGGCCCAGAGTGAACCAAGATGAAGGCGCAGCAGCGGTCGGAGACGGAGTATCGGACGAACAACGGACTGCGGGTTACCCGTGAAGTTCCCGCGGGACTTTTCCCTCGGGAAAGAAAAGGGCTGTGTCTCGCAGCTGAGTGGCCAGTTTGTTAATTGGATAATATGAAGTATGGGGGATGGACATGTTGCAGTGAAGAAAGAACATGGTGAAGGGGAACCCGCAAGGAGTGGAGGCTGCCCGGATGTTGTAGGGCTGAAGCCGCTGTTCCCGTTATTGATCCACTTCAGCACAACAAGTCCATTGTTCCGCGCATGTTCTGCAGCGCGTCTCTCCCGCCCCTGTCTTCCCTGTACCCGCTATTCTTCGGCCCTGTGTAAATTGACAGTGGAGGTGCAATGACACCCAGCTGCATCTCATGCACGCACCTCCAAGCGCCCAGAACTTGTCTGTCGTCCCGGCACCAAATTCCGGAAAGAACGACGACCATCTCCAATCTTGCGCATCTGCGCATTCGTCGCATCGTCTGACGAGGCTCTATAGCCCGTCGCTCGCAACTTCCACACTCTCTTTTGGTCGACGGCTTATTTAATTTGTTCTCTTTCTTGTTTCCATGTGCCGGAAATGATTGCGCCGTTGCAATGTCGCAAGCCACCAGCACGAAATGTGCCTCGCGATGGGTGACGCGCATCATCCCCCTCATCATCACTGGCACAAGCGGCTATGCTACCTACGTGGTCGTGGCCTATCTAGGCGGTGAGTTGATCCACTTGTATGACTTCTTCACTCTACTAATCTTTCGTCGCAGTCGACTACCTGTATAGAACCAGGGGTGAGCACGGCGCCGCAATTTCGACAATCACCCTCTACCTCTTTTTCTACCTCCTCACGATCGCCGCCTACCTACGAACGTTCCTCAAGATCAAAGCGGACCCTGGCTTGGTACCGCTCGGCCCACAGGCTCAGCATGCACTTAGAGAAGCGAACAAGAAGAGCAGGCGGAGAAAGGAGGGAGACTTGGAAAGTCAGCCATACTACACCGGCCCCGATCAGGACCCGGACAGCCCCGGCTTGGAGGGATTCTATAGCAAGGATGTCTTCATTTGCGAAAGTGACGGACGGCCGAAATGGTGCTCCGAGTGCCGCAACTGGAAACCCGACAGAGCTCATCATTCGAGCGAGGTTGAACGATGCGTACGAAAGATGGACCACTATTGTCCCTGGGTCGGCGGCATGGTGTCAGAGACCTGTGAGTTGACACGATCTGCGGCACGGGCTTTATACTGACAGAGTGTAGCCTTTAAGTTCTTTGCTCAGTTCACCTTCTACTGCACCATATATTGCTCAGTTGCATTAGGCCAGACGGCCTACTGTCTGGCTTTGCAGGTGCGCGAAGGGTCTGTAGACGGGAGAACAATCTCAGGCGTTGCCATCGCTGGTTTCTTTGGACTATTCACCTTTCTCATGACTGCGACTTCTTGGCGCTTTATTTTACTTAATATTACCAACATCGATGCCCTTCGCAAGTCATGGGTTCATCAACTAGCAATCAGAGTACCCAATGGCACTCGGCCAGGAAGTAGCTACGGGACGATCACATACCCACTACCAAAGTATCCCCAAGCGATACCTACCTCCTCGGACGCCACTGTCGACAGCGAGACCCCTCGCGACCGACTAGCTACCCGCACGTTTGCCATCATCAGGACCGAACCGGATGAAAACCCGTGGGATCTCGGGTACGCTAGAAACTGGACGTCCATTATGGGGTATTCCTTGATCGACTGGCTTTTGCCCATTCGCGGGTCCCCGTGCGCCAATCACGATAGCATGGAGAGTGACTACGAGATGGGCCCGTTAATACAGACGCTCAGAGAACGACACGGTTTGCCTGACCCCAACCGTTCATCTAGCGGAATGGAGATGCAGGAGCTGAGAGACCGCGATCGTTGACCGAGGTCCAAACATATCGAACGGCCTTGCACATTTAGGCGTTAACAGGGGGTTGGGCAATTCAAAGGGGACCAGCGTTTTATTTTGGTTCATATGCCAACGTGCACACACCTACACACATACGTAACTAACGCTAAACCTTCTTATGTAGTAATTAATTCAGTATATGGAGAAATCGGGTAGACCATCTCATACACATTGTCAGAATATCCCACCTACTCAGGACTTTCTGATGACCCTAGTTGTATGGTTAGATTCAAGAGCACCAAGACGCCTGGGGTTCCAGCATCCACCTCATGGGCCTAGAGTGGTATACCTTACCTAAAGTAGGTTCCATGCGAGACCAACATCGACTCGGGCCGACCGACATAGAAGATCCACCGGACCGAAGGCGCGTCCACCGAACGGCGGCGGAAACGGTGGGGCTGATCCGATGTCTTGTAGCTCGCCCAATCTCAGAAGATGATGAACTTACTGCACGCTGCATTCTGTCACATACGACCATACCCATTGGAAAACTCGGGATCCCGTCCGCTCTCCCATAGATAAGCCAATGAGGGCCGGATTAGTAGTTGGGTCGGTGACGACCAGCGAATACCTGGTGTTGTATGTTTTTGATTTTTGTGGGAAGCTATCGTGGTGTGGTTGTGGTGGGTGACGATGTTTTAGCGTGGTGCAGTGGGACGGTTGACGTTCGCTGCGCGACGTGGTCGTTTGACTTGCTTTCAACACCTTAGTCCTTGGTTATTGGGGTAAAGACTTTGGGGTAGTGTCGAAAGAAAGCTGCGGAATCGCAAATATGTCCGGAGGTGGTTGCTCCTAGCCACGATGTCGTAAGTGGCTATTGAGGATGCATCTTACTTGGCTCTGTTGCATTTAGAACTATCGTAGACTTACTGCCAGAGATGAAAAGACTATGAAGGTACTACGCCTTGTTGGTATCGAACGTTGAACTGCGGCAACATAGATTGAATATGACACCCTGAAATGCCTTGACGTTACTGTTCACACACTCTCGCACATATGTTAGTTGTCTCACGAGATCACGGAAGTAAGCCGAAGATATCTGGGGATCTTGTTTTGCGGCCCATTCAATATTGTTTTAGTTAGATCATCTTCGGTTTTTGAGGCCATTGACCTCAAAGCTTTCATGCCCCCTATCCCACGCATCCCAAGGACATAACGTTGCTCACGAGTATAAACGACCACGAACTGGCGCCGAGACTGATCCAGAAGAAAAAGAACAGTGCCCGACGGCAGATGAATCTACCACGCCCCATTGCAGAGTCTTCTCCCACGTATTTCCCTCGTCCGAGTCAGGGTGACAAGCAGCAGATATGGCCGCGCTACAGCTGCCCGCCACTGGCATGACCCCGAATCGCAAACGACGTCTCTCCGCGACGATGAGAAAGCCCATCATGACGATGATTACCACGAGAACGCACAAGACCCCGAGTGGTGACCATCCGCAGGCTGTCACGCCGGCAAAGGAGTTACCCTCTACTAATCGTACCATAGACTTGTCATCAGCTGAAGGAACATATACCTCTAGGTTGACGAGAAAGAAGCTCTGAGAAATGAGCCAGTGAAGTCCACCTGAGAATGTTACAAGAGGGAGTGAGTAGCGGTACGGCAGTTGAAGGAAGTAGGTATCTCGCTGGTCCCCTTTGCGTGTCGACGAGACGCGAAGGCTCTTTGCCTCGTTATCGTTGCCGAACCTGTCCCATTCAGTAATCAGGGATATGTTGGTGTATTGGGCATTGTAAGTGAAGTAAATGAGCGAAAGAACAATCTGAGGCGTATTGACAAGCAGAATATTGGCAAGTATAGATTCTTGGCCCAGGTCGCCCTTGTTCAGAATGGTATTGGTCTGCATGGCGCCGAGTCCAAGCTTGATAATATCGCCGCCACCAGACATGTGATTCAGGCCTCCAACCAGCAAGCTTGCACAGGCGATAATCAGTCCAAAGTACCTGGCAGGGTTGTCAGCAAATTGATATGATGAAAGGAGGGAAACACAAGCAAGCATACAACAAGAAACACATAAACCACCCTCCAGGCGTGACCGCGACAGACTTCCGTTGCTGTTTGAGATCATATTGTATCGGACCTTTGGACCAATGTTGAGCAACAAAGTGGTCCTTCGACTTGAGGCACATATCTGCAGTCGACTCGTCCTGATTCTCGAGGAAAGAGGCCACTGCATCTCCGATGGTCATCAGAGGATCTTCCTCACCCATCCCGAAGGCGACGAAGAGCATCAAGACGCCTTTGGCAAGGTTGAAAGCCGTCACAGTCCAGCAGAGGGTGCTGCTGAAGATGAGCTTGCAATGCTCTTCAGTCTTTTGGCTGTAGCATTCCTTGACGCTTGAGCCTAGCGGCTTCCAGCCTTCCGACTTGGCCCGCAATTCGCGTAGATAATCTTCGCATGTCGAGTTGCCAGCGAGTATGCTGGCCATCTTTTGGCTGGATTGGCCGCACATCCATATATATGGGTATCCCGAAATATCAAAGACCTCGGACGTGCGATTTTCGTCCTTCTTGTCATCAGAGACAATGAGTAAATTTCCTCGCGAGGACTGGAAGGCGACTCGATAAGCGTCCATACAAGGTGTCGCATCCATTCTCTCCACGTTGTCGCCAAGAAAGCCTGCGTATATGCTCTTCCACTCAGCGCTGCTGACTGTGCTTTCGGTTTTGTTCTTTGAAATGTACGCATTCGTATTCAGGACGCTGTAGTTGTTCACCGAGGTCGAGCTGAAGACGATAGAGTTGTACCTGATGATCGATCAGTAAGGGTTTCTGAAAAGAGAAAGAGTGCAAGGAAAGATGCAAAACGATAATGAATCCACTAACACCAGATGCAATGGAAGGGATGAAGCTGCAAGTAAAACCCAGACAATCTTCTTCTTCCATGTTATGCTCCTAAAGTTTCGAACACTAGCAACCCCGACATCGAGCCAACGTTGTCTTGCGTGTGCATCGTCGATCTCTGGTCGGGTTGGTGCCACCAAGCACTGCATACAGTAATTACTACCTGCAAGAAGAATGATGCCAAGAACGTTGATCAAAATATGGATCCCGGTATTCAGCATTCTGATGGTTGAACAATTCGTATCAAGGAGAATACCGACGCCGTCACTGATGGTATCACGTTTCTGAATGCTCGCCCAGAGAGTGAAAATTAAATTGATTAGAAAGGTCGAGAAGGCTGCAATTGCGAAGTAAGATGCAGCTTGTCGCCATCGACTTTGGGAGAAATTGGATCTACCCATCGTGATGGTCGTTGGTGACGATAATCTCAGGGGAACTGCAGAAGGGCATGTTGCAAAGGAAGAATGTGAGCCAAGGCGGGATGGGAGCCAGGAGGTCTATAATAGGACTGCAAACATAGAGCAGTTCTTTCTTCGACGCAGCCTGATCTTTACTTAGCCCTGCCAAGCGATCGAAGGATGGTTTGAGATGCAGCCTACCGGCTTGGTTTACCTCCATGTAGTATTTGCTGACTGCAGCCGCAGTAGTGTGCTCCTCCCACAGCTAATTTTGCACCGCAAGGTAGCGTCTCAAACCAGAGAAACCTCCCTCTCCCTTGGTAGGATCCCATCCTCTGCATAGGGCAAGACAGTAGTGACTGCCGAAAAATCTGTCACTTCAATGAACGTGTCAATCTTAGTATGCCAGTGTGTGCCTGGGGAAGATGCAAGACATTCAAAAGTGGGAAATCCACAGCGTTATGTGCTCAATATCCATCTACCATACGTCCAGAATTTGCCTCTGTCTTTTTTATCTGTGATATTTCCATGCCGTAAATGCGACCAACCATGCACCCATACACCTATTATTTTTGAGATCCTTCGTGAAAACCATACCAATCCACTTTTTCCCTTCCTCTCCGTCTTGACGGATTTGCTTACACAAAGCCCCTGAGCACAGCAGCCTCAGCATTAAGGATCGACGAACCAGCAGCGCCAATAACAGTGTTGTGGCTGAGCGCAACAAACTTGATATCAAAGATACCGCTCTCGTCCTCCCGAACACGGCCAACACTGACAGTGTAACCCCTTCCAAGGTCGCGATCGAGTCTCGGCTGCGGCCGGTCAGGCTCGTCGTGCACGAGGATAGGGCTCTCCGGCGCCGAAGGACACCCCAACTTCTGCGCCTCGGAGACGTACTCGCGCAGCGCCTTCTTGACCTCCTCGGCAGAGGGCGCAGGACGGCGCGCAAACTTGAGCGAGACGCAGGCGGTGTGGCCGTCGAGCACGGGCACGCGGTTGCACGCCGCGCTGACCTTGAGCTGGGTCTGGTCCTCGAAGGCGGTGAGGTCCGAGGTGATGGTGCCGAGAATCTTTTGCGCCTCCGTCTCGAGCTTGTCCTCCTCGCCCGAGATGAAGGGGACGACGTTGTCAATCATGTCCATGGACGAGACGCCCGGGTAGCCGGCGCCGGAGACGGCCTGCATGGTGACGACGGAGACCTGGTCGACGGGGCCGAAAACGGCCTGGAGGGCCGCAAAGGGGATGACGAGGCCGATGACGGCGCAGTTGGAGTTGCAGACGAGGAAGCCCTTTTCGAGGTTGTGCTGCTTGCGCTGGTGGGGGATCAGGTCGAGATGGGGGAGGTTGACGGTGGGGACGACGAGGGGCACGAGGGGGTCGCGGCGGTAGTTCTTTGCGTTGGAGAAGACGGCGAGGTTGGCCTTGAGGAATTCCATCTCTGTTTGGCCGCAATGATCAGCCATTGTCCACAATCCTGAACGGGTGCAGTCCTCCGCGGGCGCTGGGGTAGCAGCCCCAGGGAATACTCACCAATCTGGCCGGCAACGTCAGAGTCAAGACCGCTGAATACGACGTCGCAGTCGCTGAACTCAGAGGCCTTGCACTCGCGGACGACGAGATCGCCGACGGCGCCCATGGGCGAGGCCTGCTTCCACCTCACGGCATCGCGGTATTTCTTGCCGGCGGAGCGGGACGAGGCGCCGACAGCGACGAGCTTGAGATACGGGTGCTGCGAGAGGAGGAGGATGAAGCGCTGGCCGACGGAACCGGTGCAACCGAGAACGCCTGGGAGTGGACTTTCAATTAGCTTTGGGTTGTTCGAATCATCTTGAAAGGCGCCAAAGTTTGCAATGTCTCAATGTCGAGATTTCCCGAAGGCGGAAGGGCGGCGATGGCGGGGTGGAGGGGTTAAAAACGTACCGCACTTCTTGACGGGGAATTCGCCCATTGTGAAAGATGACGAGGAGGGTATCGAGGGTATCAATTGTCGAAAAGAGGAACTAGACTGAATGAGCGAGGGCCACAGGTTCGAGATAAATAGAGAAATTGGGCGGGTTGACAATGTGAGTCAAGAGGGGAGTGGCATGTCGCCGGCGGCGCCCCGGCCCAATAATTTTTGGGGTGAGCGACCGACGTCGGTTGCACCCCGCCATGCCCCGCCATCGGAGCTTTGGTTGTCGGTGGACAAGACATTTCCCACTTGGACGAACTTCAGTCTCCACACCCCACCACCTCAGCCAACGGCCCAACGATCATCAGTCCAAAGACCGGCCGGGATCTGATGGGCATAATTTACCTTTCGGTGAATAAGGACATCATCCAATTGGCCTTTAAACAACTGTTATCGCCATATGCCACTATCCCGATCGTTCGATATCAGGCAATCCCCGGATCCCATCGCGTTGCCATGCTCTCCGCGCACATGGTCACATTGTGTCACCTGGAACTAGTTAAATAAGATCTCGTGTATGGGCCTGGGAAACGCCTTTCGCGGAAACAATTCATGCATTTATTGTTTTTTTACTCTTAACACTGAAACAATGAGCCAATGCTGCTCGAAACCATTCCCATGTGGTCCACGCCCCAATGACCAAGCATCCAGACAAACCCCCGTCACGACGACACTTGGAACGGATCAGGTTGCCTCTGTGGCTGATACACGCCGACCAAGCATTGACAACTCAAGGCCTGGTTGTTCGGCCGCTTCTCCATTGTTCTGGGGCGCGTATTCATTGGGGTCTTGCATTCTTCGTGCAACTTTCACGGGATTGAACTGGTCCAGATCTGGAAGGAAGCAAGCGCCAATCAGGAGGATGACGGAAAAAGGGATGATGAAGAGGAAGATCGATCGAAGTGAATTGGCGTATCCGGTTTGAATCGCGTTGGTTATCGCAACCTTGGTTGTTGTGTTCAATGACGTGAACGTCGTCAAGTTGGTGTTTCCGTTCTTCGTTGCCTGCTCTCTGATGACGGCGCCCAGTTGTAACATTGTCTCAGGCAACAGGCCAGCGCTCAGAACAACTGGAAGAACGGCCTTGGTCAATTCCTCCTCCAGCTTTTTCCTCAACAACAAGGTAAACAATGTCCTCGAGAAGGCACAACCCAGGCTGCACATTGCACCGAGGACTCCCGATGCGAGGCCTATGTCTTGCGCTTCCCACACAAACGTAACGCCAGTGATGACAATGGCAACGAGGTAACCAAGAGCTAAGACGTATGTATCAGTATTAAAATTTTAGAAGAAGGCTAGGATTTGCCGCAAGACTTACCAAAAGACGCAGATATGCCCAACAGAACGATCAGTCGTTGATGGCCACCAGGCGATATAGTGCATAATGGAGTCGTGAGAGCCACAACCAGAAATGACGCCACTACGCACTGTATCTTGACACGTTTACCACGTAGTTTCGGAGAAGCCGCCAGGAATATGCCCAGTGTGGCACCAAGGACCAGCAGTACCCCAAACCAAGCGATGTCTACTGAGCGCTTGTTGAAAATCTTTCCGATAGCGAACGGCCAGAGAATTGTGAGGACGTAAAAAATCGTTGAGGCGAAAGTTGCACAAGTGACGAGACTTGTGAAGTGAACATTCTTGAACACCTTTGGGGGCATGAGAGGCTGTTCGGTGGTGGAAAATGCTTCTGCGACACGTCAGAAAGTGCATCGAGGATTCGTTCGAATGGGGATCACGCTCACCGTAGAGTACGAACAAGACCAGCGCTGCAAACCCACCGACTATGGTGCCAATGACCTCCTTGCCAACAGAAGGATATGATGAGGCTCCCAGGCAGAACCCGAGCAGCAACAAAACACAGCCAGAGACATAAAGGAAGATGCCGACGAAGTCCAAGTGCTTGGTCATCTCAAGCTGGGTCTTCCCAGCGACGTTGAGCTGCCTATACGAAGGTGGGTGGTAGAATACCAGGTACAAGAGAAAGGAGAAGAAAGCGAAAAAGGCTCCCGCGTAATAGCCCCAGCGCCATTGCGAAGGATGACCGTCGGGTGCATTATTTTGGACTATGACAGTGCCCAAAACAGCGGTAATGAGTGACGGCAGGGTAGTAAGGGCAACCGTTCTTGCTCTAGCCTGGTTCGCGACGAGTTCTGCAACAGCAATTCCGAGAGGTAGCTGGGCAGCAGCAGCCATTCCGTTGCAGATGTTGGCGGCGATGAGTATCTCGGCGTTGGTCGCAAAGGAGCCGAGAACGCAGCCGGCGACTCCAAGAAAGGAGGCTCCTAAGATGATCCACCTTCGTCCGTACAGGTCCGAAAGTCGACCGACGAGGAGAAAGCCGATGGAGCTTCCCATGAACTACATGATTGGCGTCCAATGTACCTTGTCTGACTGAGGTAGGTTTGTGTGGAACAGCACACTATTGTTGGTTGTTAGTATGTGCCAAGGGAGGCTGCGCTGTGTTCATCATGTCACTTACCTCGTGTTCCCGGGTGCTATCCAGCTCATCCATGCAGCTGTGCTAGCCAATGCTTGGGCCTATATTGCATCGGTCAGATTTGGTGAACGACATGAAGGTGGGTTGGGTTTACTCGCCAGTAACATCAGCCAGACTCTGGTACTGCCCGACGAGAACAATGTGCCGAGAGCATCCCTGTCGACATTTGTGACGGTACCATCGAGATGTGTTACCTGGAGATGGCTTCCCATGTTTTCGAAGTCCCAACAGTCGTCGTTTCTGGTGAGTTCTTCTCGAGAAACTTGTTGCGTTTGAGGGCTCGGGGCCACGGTGATAACGTCGTCGTTGGCCATATCTGTCTATTTTGTCCGGAGTCAAGTGTCCGGTATTGAATAGTTGAAGCAAAATGCCAAGAAACCAATAGCTGTGATAATGCCTGCGGGTGATGATGTGTCGGTGTGTTGTAGCTTGGGAAAAGAACAAGAGGCGTCGGAGGGGCAGACATACTCTTAAGTCCTTGCCAACCGTCGTCTTCCTTCCACCTGCTAAGAAAGTGTCTTCCTTCCAATCCCCATACCACGGAGATCT